CATCTGGGTGTATATATAAATGATGAATGAACATGATGTTTTAAATTTTAGTAGAAATTGAACAGTGATGGTCAGATATAACTACTGAAATGATACACATATGCATTGAATGGACGAAACACGATTTCAGGGCACGACTTTGTGCAGTTTTGAGCAAAACAAAACATTGCAAACATTGAAATTCAAGGCAACATTCAAGAATAGCATCTAAAGTGATTGATGACAAGACAAGACATAAAATCACACAACATACTGATAAAAAATCAAGAAGAATACGTGTATAAAATTGCGTGACCATTCAATAGAATTAGGCCACCTTAGTATTAATATGAATGTTTATTGAAGAACTTATAGAAGGAGAAATAAATTACAATGTAATTGGATCTTAGATAAACACTCGTAGAACAAGTGGGATCAGAATGATTATTTAAATAAAACGCAAACTTAGGTATAAAGAAATATATGACTGACTATTTGCGGACTACTTTGAAGTGACGTTTCGCTAATGGTCCGAATGAGGTTAGATGGCTTTGTGAGCATTGATCCTAAATGAGGTTACTGTTGGTGAACCAATTTTGTTGGATTGAACGAAATACTTAAACATCTTATCATCACGCCTAACCATCGCGTAAGCAGGCGTCATCGTACAGCGTCAAAAAATACAGTAGTACAGTTTTCTGTACGGTGACGAAAATTAACTGAGTTGAAGCAAAAACTATAATGAGGGGTTTAAAAAGATTAATTAGGTGAAAATAAATACGATTTCGGGTGTAATGAAAACAGCATTCTCTGAGGAATGGTTTTAACTTTCTAATTATGATAAAAGTTTTTCGAGCACTGCTCGGATTTTTTCTGACTGGATCGGCCCACATAATCGACTCGAGAGAAAAATGGTGTTTTTTTCACTTTTCGTTTGGTTATTATTTTCCCTGTCGTCTGAGAGTATGGATTATTTTTATGAGAATATGTATTTGTTATCTACACATTTTAGAACAGATGAATATTCGGCAAATAATCATTCAGTGTATTTATTTAAAAAAGATCAGAACTGTACGGTGACGCATCAGCTGTACGGTGACGCTTCCTTAGATTTTATGAAGTGCTCTAAGCTTACTGTTCGAACAAGAGGTAAAGAAGCGTCAGATCTACATGTACATTATCACTGGTAAGTATCAAGCGAAGGTTACAGCCGTCACCTTCGCATTTAAGATGGCGGACAGAAAGTATTCATTTCGATATTTTTAGTTTTCATGGAATTAACTATTTGAAAGTTGATGTAATGCTTTGGTATCATTTGAACTAAACCAGGCTTTTCTCATATGACTAACAAAGATAGCCTACACAGCCATCTTGACCCCATGCAAGATATTGCATCTTTCATCCTAAAGAGTCACACGTGCAAGATGAGATTTACTTGTGACATCCCTTGTTTTAAAACATCAATAACATAGCAACAAGAGAGTTTTTGGTTTCATGATCTTTACCGTATCATACATTTCCAGTAACCTTCCATTAAGCTGTGGAAGATATCGTTGAACTGTAGCGCCCATGCACTATATATGAACAAATGATCATACTCCAGAGTTTCTATTTCATACAATCTTAGTCTCATTTAGTTCATCAAAGCATAGCGTCACCGTACAGCTGGTGCGTCACCGTACAAATTTGATCTTTTTTAAATATACATAATGAATGGTTGTTTGCTGAATCTTCGCCCGTTCTAAAATGTTTAAGTAACAAATACATATTCTCATAAAAATAATCCATACTCTCAGACGGTAGGGAAAATAATAACCAAACAAAATGTGAAAAAACAACCTTTTTTCACTCTGGTCGATTATGTGGGCCGATTCACTCAGAAAAAATCCGAACAGTGCTCGTAAAACGTTTATCATAATCAGAAAGTTAAAACCATTTCTAAGAGAATGCTGTTTTTATTTCACATGAAATCGTATTAGTTTTCATCAAATTAATTTTTTTAAACCCTTGTCATAGTTTTTGCTTCAAAGCAGTTAATTTGCGTTACCGTACAGAAAACTGTACTCCGCTATTTTTTGACGCTGTACGGTGACGCCTGCTTACGCGATGGTAAGGCGTGATCATATCGATGGACTACTAAACAGCTTTTGGAATGTTATTCAGGCCTAAGTGGATTAAACATTCTTTGAAGATCATAATATGGCTTGATAGAACACTTTTTTGTGTGTGATAACATTAATAATCGATCTGGGAAGGAAGCTTTGTTACTGTATACTAGGCAACGGTATATACACAACGTTGCTACGATACAACGAGTGTTGCTATGGCGACAAGCGTACCTCACAAGCGACGGTCGCAGTCTCCAGGAGGAAAAAGTGGAGTCTTGTCTCCTTTAGTATCGAATGTTTCCTCTAAAGAGGAACGGATAAGATCAGGTCAAGGAAACAGAAATCGACCCAACTCTTCTGGTCCTCGCCAGCCTTCTGCCAGAAAACGATCGGGTAGATATAGGTGCGTGAGTAAAGTTAGTCAGATGATTTGAAAATACCACTTGAGTGCTACTTCTGTACATGATTACATGTTCAAGTTGAAATTTTGAGGAGCCAACGATTCAACTTATTTGAATATTAATTGTCTGTTGTTAAATATGTGTCAAACCCCATCCCATATCTCATAACATATTCTGGGAAGGGGCAGGAATATGCTGTCAGATTTCTTTCTCGTTTGATGGAGTTTATGTATTGCGTTTTATGTATGTGTGTTTCTTTGAATTCTGTCCTTTGGGACCCCCACTATAAACCATCAAGCTCATTCCAATGACATTGACCGTTCACTCAACTTGGATTTCTGCTCCATAATTTTTTTCATTTTGCGTTTGTCTGCCTTGTCATTACCATAGGCCAACATAGCATTCTGCTTCGTTTTCTTCCTGATTGATTAATCTGTAATCTTTCATCTCTGTCGTTCCTCGTCTAGTAAGTATATCAAAATACTAATAAAGTTAAGTAAGAGTCACTGTTGAGTACTCTCAGATTTCAATAACATGTTGAAGAGTAGATATAAGTAGTAATTTATGAGTACCTGTATTATCGCTACACTGCTGAATTATTTTATCAAATTTTGATACCAGTCAGGGTGTAGAAATATTAAATGATGTGTCGCTACTTATAAAGTAGACTGTCGAGATCAAGAAATTAATTCATTTCCATATTGATCATCGATTATTGACGATTAATTAATACATATAACGTGTAGAAACACGGGCCAGTCATTTTGAAAAAATATTTTTTCCTTTTGAAGTTGAATGACATATTTTGCGTTTTCAATTTTATATTGGTAAAATTATGAAACTCTGATTTATTCCATATGTGCAAAACATTTTTCCACACTATTCAGTATTGTTTATTTTAAGAAGCGAAACTAAACGAATAAAAATTAAAGGATGTACATGACTGTGCAATGGCTTTCAGGAGAAAACCCATCGTATAAGACATACATATTTTATGATTTATACCTATAATTCTGTCTATAAACAAGATTCTGCCATTCCAATGTTGATAACATGGGAAGCTAGTATCAGCTAATAAGTAATTATGTTTATTTGTTCATAGGATTTCTAAGTATCCCTATGTAACTCCTGCTTGCCATGTGACTGATAATGGTATCGATAGTTCGCTTCCCTCTTGTGTTTATATCGTATTTTATAAACAAGTCATGTTTTATATACATTATGTACATTGCAGAAAATCAATTAATATAGTCACCATTAAGTATTAAAATCCAGAAACTTGGAATTATTAGATTTGGAGTTATAGAGAAATATTGTAAATTTAACATATTAAAATTGTGTCATTCTAACATTGGGTTTTAGGATATTAAGGCCAGGCTAAATAAATGAAGTGTTCGTCATACCAATCTCATCATTTTCAAGCTTAATTGACTAGATGCGAGTACTCTTGATTTACGTCATGAAATATTCAAAATTCAGTCAAAGTGATGTCATATTTGAAATCTACATGTAAAAGTACATCTATAAATATGGTTTCGAAAATTGTTTATAAAAATTTATTTATTTTTTGAAAATGTGACTTCTAGTTCTGGTTGATTCCCCATAGACCCCATGTTACAAAATCACATAAGTGAAATATCTTTTCTTGTATTGGACAGGTATCATTTTTCTTTTTCTGGACATATTTTAATTTGCATAACTATTAGATCGAGGGTGATATGAAAATCGAACCACTAAAACAGATGTAATTTAAGTTAAAGGGAACTTTCTATACCCGCCATGCTATCTGACCCGAACGAGCCACCTGGTGGTGAAACTGGTAACTACCTACTCGCATCTGCGTTATTGTATGTGATTGTGAATTGAACCTATTTTCTCCCATATTTTCAAAGAACTGTTTGTTTTATTCTGCATTAGATTGGATAAGTTCTAAGAATTTAACAAAATTAAGAGCCCTCTCTCCTTCATCCTTCAACAAAACGAAACAATGGCTAACGCATAATTATTTACTTTGGCCTAAATAACTTTCATTGTTCAGAAGTGTATCTCTTATAATTTTGTTACCTCTAATCTCTAACATGATTATTATTTGATATCATCCATGTAAGTGAAAGAATTTGAACGTGAAACTTTATTAATAGATCCTCGTTTAAATTAAAGACAATTTGGTTCGTGCTTTGATAGTGGAGGTGGACTAACAGTAAATGGCATTTCTAATTTCTAATAGCGATGGAATATAGTAAAACGCGATAAGCTGACGATAGAAGGAGGTATTATATGTTTCTATAAGCGATACATTGATATAAAGTGATATTAATATGACAAGTCAGATTCTTGAAAACAGAGTGAATAACGCTTAGAAGTAAAAACAATTTATATTAGATCGACGAGATTCATTTTATGTAACGTAAGAAGCATTATAAGTGAATATCTTACTGACTCATGCAGTACAGTATTTAAATACAAGAAACTTAATAGGAAAACCGTTTTTGATTTTAAACTAACTGTTGGTGAAACTTGATGACACGTATGACGATTGACGACCGTTGTTGATTTAACTAGATCTCCAAGGTGCTGGAATAAGATAGATGAGAAAGGATACATCATTAATTAGATCTAATTAATTCTTGATGGACACAGACAACTAGGCATTTTCTCATATTGGTTTAAGACCGAGTGAAAGGTGTCGTGTTCCACAAAGGATCTATTCCTACAATTAGTGAAGTTTATGTGAGCCAGCATCTCGCATATTCATCTCAAGCTACTTTGCCCTTTGATGTATTTTAAGAGGAATTCCTGGTAAGCCAAGGAAATATTAATGCAAATTGATCAGCCGTTGATCAGAGGCTATCATCATGGATTTAAAGGTATAAAGATTCAGCGACATGAATGTGAAAAACTGGGTGTATAATTCAGATATCTTATAATTCATCCTAACTTTAAGACGCAGGGATTCACTCTTTTGGCTCTAAGGAGATTAAGAAGGGGTTTTAAAAACGACAAAATATATGTTGATCCCTTCATTGGAATCGTGCGTTAACTATAGATATGCTACAAGCAACACTGTCGACACCTATTGAAAATAAGCGGCAAAGACGGACTGGGGCAAGGAGTCCGGGGTCTAAAAGTCCGTCTAGTACCAATAGACGGATATCTGATGTAACTTCATACATCAGTAGAAGCGCACAAGCGCAAAGTCCAACATTAAAAGCACGTAGGCATAGTCATGACCCCGGCGAGCGCAAATCGCCAGTCTATTCCAGTTTGGACGAACGTGGCCCGAGGCCCCGGAGTGGTCGTTTTGGGCTAGAGCGACCTGACTCAAGAGGAAACGGGATTTTTACCGAGCGTGTCCCAAGACCCCCAAGTGGTCGTTACAGGCTCGAGCGAACTGACTCGAGGGGAATTCGGGTTGTCACCCCGGACCAAACTGCCGACCGTAGCCCGAGACACTCCCCACTTGAGAGACGTGTATCTAGTAAACGGTTGGAAAGGCAGAACTCTGATGTATCAAAGAAATACAAACCAGAACATAAAGTATCTTCATCGAATCGAAGTCGACGTATCTCCCACTACAGGTACGTAACAGGTTCATTGTCTCCTCAATCACCTCAGAGCACCCTCATGCGACACGCGTATTCACGTCACGTTTGGGGCCTCGTTCGTTACATGCGCATTATGTATTTTGTCTCATACAAATGTATATTAGCTAAGTTAGGAATTGTTCGTTACAGGTATCCCGTTGCCCTTCTATCTGCCACGTTCGGTAACTAAGGTCACATACCTTTCAGGTCTACATTGTACATCGGTTCCCGCTGTCACGTTTTGAACGTCATGAGAACGTTCAACACACAAGAGATTTCATTCAAATGTAGCAAATAAACTTTTATACATTTATAGATGGCGAAAATATCATTTGGTAACTTGATAACACGACAGACACTTTACAATAATATCATCAGAGAATATTTATTTAATATTGATCAGTCTATCTGGTATAAGAGTATGATCGAGCCTTGCCAAAGTCGATGTCATTTTTTACTTTTTCTTGATGATTTAAGCTTGTATTCGCGAATGCAACTTTCGGCTGTCGGCTGCCGGATTCAGCTACTATTTCATGACCAAGTCATTTAAATATGAATAGAATAGTGGCAGGTACTATTCGTATTCAAATGAGTTACCCATAAAATAGTAGGTTAATCCGGTAACCGACAGCCGAAGATGCATTCCCGAATACAAGCTAAGATGAGTAAAAGAAAACCGACTTAGACAATGGATGGCAATTCCATGGAATTTACCAAACAAAAATAACGTTTTAAATAAGTTAAACCATGTGCAGGTAATACTACTGTACCTCTCAAAACTCAAAATGGCATGCGCTGAAAAATGTTCTAAAACATAAATGTATAAGCTCCAATTACCATCTTGAAATTGCCATTACAAGAGTTCATACAGTCCGACCCTCCCAAAAACGGCTTAATTGACTTTCTTATTTCTATAGAGTCGAACACATTGAATCCAAATGGGTCACAGGAGCATTTATGTCCTGCGTATATTCATCATTCTTGATCCTGGTCTTTTCATAAGGATGATCCATCAAAGACCTCAAAATGTATCAATTTGCTTTTGCTTGGCTTATGAATTACGACATGCTGCAATTTCCTTTAATTTGTAAATCTGTTTGTTTTATAGATTAACACTTATGTGGAATAAGACCAAGAAAATAAAACTAACTTTGATGATTATATTCCTATTTTCATTTAGTTTGGCTGATAGCTCCTTTGTTAGTGTAGGTCTTACTCATCGATCAATTGTAATAAAACTCATTGATAATTGTTGACTTAGCAATGATCTCAAAATAGTTCTTTAAGAATGTTACTTTCAGAAATACCAGCTAACCAATCATTTTGAAATCCACCTTTAGTGTTTTGTCGTTTTATATATTATTCGAGAATTCTGCGGCTAAACGTTTGATACAATTCTGGTATGTGAAGAAAGATTAGAGGGGACGGTGTAAGCTTTCCGATGGTGTACTATATTCTTTCTGTTAGTATATGACTATATGGAGTATTGGGTTTCTGAGTAATTGGTTTCGGAGTAATGGCGTGAACAAATGAATAAAGTGAAGACAATTAGACGTGAATAAATACTTTTTATCCCAAATGATCATGAACTGAACTTTCAAGGTAAAAACAGTTCGATAGATGCTGGGCTCGAACTCATGACCTTCAAGTCATGGTGGCACTCTCATGATCAGACACTATTGATTTCTAAATGTGTACCATCACTGGTAGGCAAGATGGGGAGGATACGACCCACTCTAAATTGCGTGCAATCATACCCGATGCATAGAACAACTAGATGGACTTAAAGGATTAAATCTGTGGCTATTATAGACTTTCTATCCACTTGGTCAATACCTGAAGGGTCTTAAAGCCAATTGAAGTGGTATCTTATCGATGTTTTGTTTGAATATATTGTTGGGACGTGATTTTGGGCAAAGTAGGTTATATCTCATGGCTGTTAATGTTATTGTTATCAACGGAATATGGTTATCTTTGGAGTTTATTATAGCCTTGCGTGGACTAATAAATATATGAAACCATCACCTTCACTCTGATGGGACAACAGAGATACAAATCGCTTAAGATAATTAGTATCTCAATAGGCCTATATGTGAGACAATAGGCATTTCTTACGAGATAGTATTTGACCTATATCAGGAGATAATTAATATCAAAGTTAAGATTTATGGAATTTATGAAAGGCCAAATGAATGAAGAGCCTTCAAATATATTACAACACGAATTTAAATGAGATCATTGATGGAGAGAATAAGACGATTTTGACGTCATCTAAAACGGATGCTAAAGACTGATTTATGGAAACGGGAAACAGAGAAACAAACAGCAATTAAAACGTTTAGGGATATATCATTTTAAAGGAACTTGAGATGGCATCAAAGAAAGGCAGCAAACCTGAGAAACACCTTACATTTAACCTCCCAGACATAAACGCGTCCAATACCACGGGCGGGGGAAGGAGGAAAAGTACCTTTGGGTCTGAGCGTACTCCAAGCCCTAGCAGGCGAAATTCAGGTCACCTTAACACAGCCAAAGACCAACCCACCAGACGCCCCCATCGTAGATCTACCCTTTCTGTCATACAGGATCCCGAGGGTGGTGAGACACTGCAGGTCCAAGATCTCGCGAGATCACAAGATAGACGTGGGAGTTCATCACCCAGGCGTGGGTCAAATTTTGCCATAGCAACGGAAGCTGGAGAAGACATTGAAACAACGATTGAGACAAGACAGAGTTTTGATAGGTCAGTTAATAGATGTAGTAATAGTAGAATTATAGAAGAGAATGTACCCTATCGTAAATGAGGATACGGGTCACAATACATTTGTCACCAAAACAAGGTATTCAGAGTACCTTCATTATGATAATCGTTATGATACCTCTAATTGAATGTTGATGCCATATATGAATTAAGAAATTGTTTTTGAGTATACACTATATACAGTAAGTCCAGCCCCTCCCGTAGTTTGCGGTCCGTAGTAAAAGAGAATATTGTCCGCAGAAATATTGTCCTTGTTGGCATTTAAACCACTGGTCCGAACTACATCTTATGATACATAAAGTCACAGTAAACGTGAACGTATGAAAATCCGGACAATACGTCCTATATTATTAAAGAAGGGGTAAAGCGTACTTATTTAGATTTGTAACATGATACCCATGAGGGTCATTCATGGATATATATGGAAGAAGGACAATAATAATCACTTATAATCATCTCTGGTGATACATCATATTATGTGAAATATTCAGATTTACGCCATCTTTATATATGGTCTGTTAATTTTTTCACAAGTAGACCTGCATTCAAACGTTTCATATATTAATCGATTTGATCATCTGATAAACCATGACATCTCATTTCTTCTCAGCCCTGAGATGTTTCAGGTGAAACAGAAAGATGCTATGAGAATCGGAATGCGATTTGATAATATTTAAGGGTTCTCATCTGGGTCTACTTGAAATCACTCTATATCTAAAGTAACATTTATTGGTTGTATAATTGTGCTATTTGGTGCTTTCACTACGACAAAGGATAACGCATTCTATGGGCTTTGTTTCTTTGCGTTGTGTTACCACAGATTATGCAATCACTAAATCATGTTTTAGTATGCAGTTTTGGTGTTGAGATGACCTTTGAGTTGACTTCAAGTAGAGTTTAGGTCCTAATGATAGCTTTGTCGTTGAGTGACTTCAAGTTAAGCTCGTGTAGTTTAGGTCCCAATGACCGGGCCTAATGATAGCTTTGGTGTTGGGTTGATTTCAAGTTAAGTTCGTGTAGTTTAGGTCCCACAATAATAGCTTAGGTGTTGAGTTGACTTCAAGATAAGTTCGTGTAGTTTAGGTAACAATAATAGCTTAGGTGTTGGGTTGATTTCAAGTTAAGTTCGTGAAGTTTAGGTCACAATATATGATAGCTTTGGTGTTGAGTTGACTTCAAGTTAAGTTCGTGTAGTTTAGGTCACAATATATGATAGCTTTGGTGTTGAGTTGACTTCAAGGTAAGTTCGTGTAGTTTAGGTCACAATATATGATAGCTTTGGTGTTGAGTTGACTTCAAGTTAAGTTCGTGTAGTTTAGGTCACAATAATAGCTTAGGTGTTGGGTTGATTTCAAGTTAAGTTCGTGAAGTTTAGGTCCCAATAATAGCTTAGGTGTTGGGTTGACTTCAAGTTAAGTTCGTGTAGTTTAGGTTACAATGCTAGCTTTGGTGTTGAGTTGACTTCAAGTTAAGTTCGTGTAGTTTAGGTCACTATATACGATAGCTTTGGTGTTGAGTTGACTTCAAGGTAAGTTAGTGTAGTTTACAGTAGGTCCTAATAATAACTTTGGCGTTGAGTGACTTCAAGTTAAGTTCGTGGAGTTTAGGTCCCAATGATAGCTTTGGTGTTGAGTTGACTTCACTTCCACTTTCTAGGCTGAGATCAATGAGGGCTTATACCTGGCTGGGGACAATAATTACTTAAGAGACGTGGTACACTCCAAGAATCCATGTAGGACAATGAACATGCTTTCCTTTAATAAGCCCCTTTGGATATCACACATTATTCGAGATCACACATTAGAGGACGATTACCTGGGGTTGACTAAACCTTACCGTTTGTTTGTTTGTTTGTACAGTATGTTTGTTTGTTTGTTTTTATTCATAATTGTGAATTTTCTATATTATCGGCACCCTCAAGCCCAGAGGATTTTAGAAATTCACATGAAGTTCTCTTTTATAGAAGCTAAATCAATGTATTGAAAATGTAGTGCTGTGGTGATTATTTCTGTGGCATGTTTACCTTATTTGGAGCAAGGCAAACAATTCCATGCTATCGCTTCCTTTAACCTGGGCTACTGTAAATGAAATGTTTCCAGTGGCATGATTGCCTGTAGTTTAAACATGATAAAGTAGCGTCGAACAGGATCAAAACAGAAGCATCTATCGAAGAGAAGATATACATTTTCATGATAGTAAGGCTTATTAGTAATAAGAACTGTAAAACTGTAAAACATATCTAATAAAAAATACAATTATATATTAATTGGAAAATAATTACATTCTTACAATGTTACCATAGTAACAGGGATGCTGATAACGCATGATGTTTGTCATGCTCTCGAAAATATTCCAGTGACTCTGACAAAACAAGAAAAACCGCAGATATTGAAGTGGAACGGGAGGACGTAACGTACTTTGAAAAATTTGGACATCCCTTGAATGAAGAAATCATTTAAAGATCGACTGAGTTTAATTGAATTTATTGTCCGATAATAATTTTAAAAAATCTATTTGTTTGACCCATTTTAACTATAACAATACAGCACGATAAACAGTTCGATTTTGAAATACAATCAGTGGTAAACAGAGGCATGGTTTTGAAAAGGAAAGCAAATAATTTGGATTGACACATCGTTGTGCGTTTTTAGAGAAACCTTGAGCAAATATAATTGTTAACTTCTAGAGAAGTTTTGAATACAAGGTGTATAGCAACCATACATGGTACTCACAGGAACACTTTACATAAAATGAACAAAATGAGAAATTAAAGTTGATTTGGGATAAAACAATAGCGTAAATGATGTTAACAAAGTTCTCGATCGCATCTCTACCATAAGACATCAATATTTTGGATGTAATGACAAACTGGAACCTGTTTAAAGTTCAAGTAATCGTGACGTGACATAAAAGTCAGGGATAAATTGATTAATGCAATCGATTAATCAGTTAATCAATACTTATTGGTGAACATCGGAATAACATTGACATGCTGACATGCGACAGTTTCAAATGGAATGCCTTGTAGATATTACAAATGTGCAGTGGGGGTTATAAAGACTATTCTATTGATACCAACAATAGACCTTTAAAATAGACCAAAGATGAGTCGTCGGGGAGGAGGTGCGAATATGTTGGCGGCGGCCGGGGGGATCAAGAAAGCGTCGATAGAAAGACGCCGTGGAGCTGCAAAAGATGGTGTTCCTAAGGAGGGGGATGTATTCTATCGCATAGTTAAATCTTATCCTAGAATTCCGGAAATTCCCGAAGAGACTTCGTGCAATATCGCCAAACCTATAGAATTCACCCCAGGGTCTGAGAAATACAGGCAACTGGCTGCATCCCCCGGTGGGAGAAGGGCGTCTATACTGAGTGATAAGTCGAGAGAAGATATGACTACACCCATATTTGAAGATCATAGGTATGAACTGGTATGGATGATGTCAACATCATCTATCATCTTAACTAGGACCCATATTAGTTGTGTCCAAACTGAGCCAATGACTAGGGTTTTCTCATTCATTGATGATAAATAGTAAATGCAAATATCAAGCTAACTACTGTTCGTTTTAAGAAAAAGCCATGGTATTATTAAGAGGTTTTTCAAAAGAAACCCTGGTAACAAGATAATTACATTTATTCTTGTCCTCCGATTAGCAATAGGTACATTGGGGAATGGGGATGTTGTGGTTTACTTAGTTCAGGTCATTGGTTTTGATAATAGGTGTAGGAGTGTACCATAACCCTCAAATTAGAATCTCAGATTAGGCTTATGTACTTTTGGCGGGGGTGTAGCATCCGGGGGTTGAAACATCATTTTTACATTCTGATTGGGGGTAGTATTGAACATTCTACTAATTCGTTGCCTGATCTTCCATATTCCAATTGTTAGACCTACATCGTATTAGATTTGTCAGTGCATCGTTTCTACTCTAGTACATGAGGTCCAAACATTAACACGATGTCGTCACGCATAGACGAAATAAGAGAGGTTACAGTGGATGGTGAGGTTGTGGTTGTGCCGAGTTGAGATTGTGTTTACGTTTAGTCGTGTCGCCATTCGGATTCTGGCGCAACACGAGAGTCAATGTACATGTATATGGTCACTGCCAGTCTTACAGTACCTCTTAAAATATTGAAGTCTTATTTCAGGCTCTTTAATTTAAGATGAAAAACATTGTACGACAATGGCACTCGCACAATTGAAGTGGATTGTTCTCGATGGATGGGACTGAGGACGGTTATGTTGTGTTTGTAGTTCCAAGTTGTGTGTTAGGCTAATGTGACTGACATTGTGTATGGAACATTCAAACTTCATGACATCCTTGTTTATTTAACATTGTACATTGTTATTCGATCCGCAAGGTTCCATGCCATTCAGGAGACTAAAATGTTTTATTCTATAATGAAAAGATTTTTGCTACTGATCTGCACTACTGCCACCTTTCAACAGTGACACGAAGTATATTATCTCGGCATTGCGCATGCGTATTGATATTTTGGTAAAATTGACCTTGAGATCGTGGCAACCAATTTTATTCTTTTGAATGTCATATTAACCTTTATATGAACAAATATCCGACCCAGATTGGGCTCTAACATGGCCTCAAAGCAGACAAAGAAGAAAGAATCTTCAAATCGTGTGAATTCTGCACAAGGCAAAGAGTAAGTTTCCACCTATTTTTTTCGGAAAAAATAAAAGCTTGGTTGGAAACAACATGGCTCGCATATTTACATTTTTTTGTCCAACTCCAAAGCCTAAAACTAACCACATGTGTACTAGATATATACCTTACCACACACCTAAAATAATCTGAAAACTTATGTGTAATGTAGAATAGAATAGAGAGGAGTTGAGCCATCATCGATGTTAGATAGACAAGATTTACCCCTTGGGTGGGCCCAGAAAAAGAAAATTTGGCTCAAAAAAGGCCTTAAGGCCCCAAAAAGTCGGCCTTTTTGGTCATATATGGGGCTTGAAAGGCCTTATTTTTTAATTTTAGGCCAAAGTTTGAAGAAAATGGGCCTCAAAATTCCCATCTAGAAACCTCATGACACGATATGTATGGGGATAGAACCAGCAGTAGTAGGCTACATAGAATGAGATCATTAGTTGTATGTTGGGAAAAAATGCAATAATTAATACAAGTATGTTTCTAAATCCATACCTGTTTTTTTGTAGCCTCTCTGTTGCACAATTTCACATTCCAATGTGGATACATACAGAAGGCTACAATGTACATGTACCGTATGTCAAATAAATTGTTTATGATTGATCAATGACCATTATCTATGCAAGCCAGTGTGTCTTATTTCACAATTGCGACATGAATTAGTATTGCTGCGAACTACATTTGTAGATCACATTGTAGATGAAGTAATGGTAGTATGTATGTATTCACTGCATTATGGTATAGAATGGTTCAGGCAGAATAAATTTTTCATAATATATTTATGACAACACAAAACATACACAAATTTCTTATAGATGAGATCAATATTTATATCAATAGCTATTGGTCCTTTGAGCATGGTAACCAACCTAAAAAATTTCCAGTTTTTATCCCAAAACTTAGAAATTGCCACCTTTTCTATCTATAGCATCTATTAGCATCTGTAAAAATGGCACTGATTCATCTTGAATTCTCACTCAACAAGTTGTTAAATCCTAAATATTAGCTGTTTTGGTCAAAATATTCCGATATTACTATCTGCAGGTGGTAACATTTATTTGTGTTAATATAGTAGGTTGTAAATTTTTCTGGCTATAAGTTTGCAAGATGCAAGATTTTAAACATGTAGCATATAATTTTCAGCATGCTGCAGAACAATAAAACTACATTTAGAGATGTATAGCAGAACTAAGATTCATTATCCTTGGAATTATTCTGTTTGTGAATATTTAGACCAGATTATCATGTGTGTGTAGCTTGTAAGTCAACAGTTACTTAAAATCACATTATAAATTCAGAAATGTTTTTATAAAATATTCTGTGTTTTTATTATTTGTTAAAAGTACATATGAATGAGCATATTGGATTTCGTTATGGGGAATTGTTTTTGAAAGTATCCTAATCTCATAACACAACATGACCTAATCTATTTACATTTACACGTACAGTGTATATATTAAGCTGTGACCCATTTAGATTTCCACTTGAATCTTGCATGTTCATACTTCACTCTTGACCACATGTATCTGGAGTTTTAAGAAGTAAAGCATGTAAAATAAACTAATTTATAGCAGCAATACATTATTTGAGTTTTGGATACATTTAACAGTAAGAAAACTCTAGATGTTCTGATGAGTAAGGATGGCTGTATATTCTTAGATTAGAATACTTGTGGCATACTCTATTGAGTATTCTATTCCATGAATTTGTCTGTATTTCAGTTGTGTGAAAAAAGGAAATAATACAGGGTGAGCTAAGAAAACATCCATATTTTTTATGACATGACTTGAAATAATGAATGAAAGAGATTGCTAAATTGTCTATTTTTTTTACTTTCAGAGCGGCAAGTATCGCAGCCAGCGTTGGAGCTACAGAGAAAGCACGTCAAAAGGTCATCATCTGGCCAGAATGGAGCGACACAGATGTCAATGGAGAAAAATGGGTAATTATTTTTATACAATAAATTTTTTCCATGACTTTCACCTGTAAAAATGGGTAATTGTTTTTATTCCATGACTCCGCCCATAATCTGGGATTTTAGAGACTAGAAGAGATGCTGTGCAGTGAAACCTGCCCATGTGTAGTTGATGTGAAAATTTCAAAAAACACATTTCAACAGTTAAATGTGAGCATGTAGGAGGGATCTAACTCTAATGTGGACCCTGTCATCTACTCTATAATGAAGTCAATTTGAAGAAACTTTACACTATTATGACTATAGAATTTTCCTTCAAGATCAGACACAATTAAATCACATGAGGCAGGAAAAGGAAAATGAACATGTGCAAAGGATAATGACGGTAATGATTGAGGGTTAAGCAGGAATATGAGAAAAGAAGGCAAACACAACTTGGTGATATTAGTAACAGTGCCTACATATCTTCTTAGATACGTTACTATATCCTTATTGTATTAATATGATTTCTTCCATAAGACCACGGAGATACAAATACATGTACTGTATGTGAGACCCTGAGTACAGGTGCTCATTCGCAATCTAGTATTGCTCTTATATGGCACTGATAAAGGTCTTATTTGTATAATTAGAGATTGTGTTGTCTACAAAAGATTGTTAAATAGTTTGAAGGCACTGTACGTAATATACCCAAGAATTTTTTTTATCTCAGAAACAAATAAAAAATCTTGTAAAATAGTTGATAATTGAGAATATACATGAGAATATAAAAGAATATATAATGAGAATATAATGAGAATATATAATTGCAAGGACCTTGTCTTGAATTTGTTTTCAAATGAGGTGGCCTTCTGGTTTTGTTAATTATCCTATCTCTCAGGTAGATACTCATTTTTGTGAATATTGATTTTCTGCCTTTCTACCATACCCCTTCAAAAATCCACCCTAGCCAGAACATCATGCAATAATCATAAACTTAAAAGTGTGAGTGGATATACATTGGTGATTTTTTGTTCTCATCATTAGTGATCATTATTCAAATTAAATAGTCCATCTATCAATACTTTTACATTCTATTTTACATGTTAATAATAGGGGCGTCTTTTAGTATGATTAGGGTACCTGATTGGAACATCAGGTAATCCCCATGTTTAAAATCTCTCAAGAAAAACACATTTCACACAATTCCTCATTTAAAAGTAGATTTACATGTAATTCATAATTATGGGATTTCTATTTAATATTTTGACATTCATAATCTTGCTAGTTCTTGCTTAGTTTCATTCATCTGGGACTTGGATTTTAAAACAGATCATACGAGTTAGAAATTATACACAGGGAAATGAGTTTTGCTAGGCAGAACCAATATGAATGTTATAACTGATACAGGCATACAATAGACACCACCTCGTTTTATTTTCTCTTAGGTTAATTCAATTAGTATTTTTTGGAAGGTTGTACGTGTTAAAGGTGGGGGGGGGGTTGTTGGGGGAGGGGGGGGGGGGGGTTGATGAGCATTAAAAGATTTCACAATTGACTTTGGAATGGATACATAGGATACACAAAGAATCGTTATAAAGTGGACAGCCAATTTAGCAAGTTCATTAACTACTAATATAAAGGTGCTCTCGATTTTTACTCATATAGGAAAAAACTTACAACAGGACTACTACAACATGTATGTTACAGCATGTATCATTATAAAATAAAATGATAACAAATATTAAATAAGTATATGAAAATTATTGGTTGCATCACATCATATGTTATATTTGTTACTCGTCATAATATATTTGCTACAACTAATGATAATGCATGTCACATCTGATAAAATGTTTGTCACCTGTAATGCTATGCTCGTCACCTTTAATAATGTTTGTCACTTCTATTGATGTGTTTGTTACTTCTGATGATATGTTTGTCAACCTTAATGATATGTTTGTGATTACTACATGTAATTTTTTAAAACTTTATTTTCAGGATGGCCCTCACAAAGGCAAGGAGAAAGACAAAGGGAAATCTCCAGTGGTAAGTCTATTTGTCATTTTGAGTTCTGTAAGATCTTCTCTTCTTCTTCGACACTTATAATTCATTATTATTCACTGTGACCTATTTGAGGAGATTATGTATCATTAATAATATTTGATTATCATTTTCTGTGGCAATATTATCTTTCTGTTCCATATGATATTTAGTAGTTATAATTATTTTGTAATTAATAGAGCTGGAAAACAGCTGTTACAAGCCTTTGCCAGATTTCATCAGATTTTTATATTGATTAACCTTCCAAAAGGGTCACTTGTGTCTGTAATTAATTATTCGTTCTAGCCTATATCAAGAAGAGGATATACCCCATAATTCATAGATCACCATATAAAGTTTAACTTCTATAGGTTTATCTATGAATTATGGGATAACACCAGTCTTGCCTATATTCAATTGGAACAAAGCTCGGCAGTAAATCTTTGTTCCTTTGGAGCCGATTGGTTCTACTGTTTGAATGGACAATATCTACCAAATGTTGCATTTGTAACATCCTGAATACAATGGCTCAGTTCAGAAGTGTAGAAAAAGTAATAAATCTCTCAACAGATTTTACTGAAGTCATAATGGAATATTGAAAAGAGATGAATTAATAATCCATGACAGAATGAATGTTATGAAATCCTTCGACTTAAGATTTGCACCTTGAAAATTCTGATTTTGGCTTACTGGATGTCTAAAAAAATTAGACTGCATGTCGATTTCAGAAAAATTTTTGTACCCTTTCATAACAAGCATCTAAATTGGGAAATGACAAAAAATAAAAAGAACAATAGTCATAAATTAGAAAGGTCTTCCAAGGAAAATTAGGCGAGGAATGTATCAATGAGAAATAACTTGTACAGTATCTGTTAATACAATATATTAGTCTTAGTCTTACATACAGGAGGGCTTTTAAGATGTCCTTTGTGATAGGAAATTAATAGACACAATCTGTTCTGTCATGATATTAATTAAATCTAGTAAGATATATGAGCATGTGCCTTGTCATGGCAACAAAAGCCTAAAGGGTATTTCATTAGAAATTTAGAAGTAGTGCTATTCTCCTTGGAGTTCTCTGGGAGATATTCACAAATGAACATATTAATTTTACCTGAAAAATTAGTTGTGATCTGCTTAGGGAATGTAATTTGTAGAAAGGTCAACTTTTATTTTGCTGACAAATTGACTAAGATGACTTTACAGTGGCTCTTAATCATAAAACCAAAGATTTAGTGACCTCTGAAAGAAGTTCACATTTTATATTACAGAAGCATGTTTACATCTGGTCAAATATTTAAGGTCCTGGGCATATTTTGTAAAAAAATCTTTGAGATACTGTAAATAAATGATAGAATAATTTCTTTACTATTGATACATTAAATCTCATGAGTTCAAGAATGCTTAGAAGTTAAATATAATTCTTGAATTATCAGAAGCTTTTAGTGATTTTTAGCTCATATGTTTAATTTAAACACCCATGAAAAATTGTTCCTTTGTTTTTATAGTGCTATTACATGTATATCATATTTGAATACAGGAATTTTTATTTTGGTACACTTTAGGTTCAGCACTACTTTGATGACCCTGAAGGAAAAATAGACCTCCCATCAAGCCTAAAGGTCGATACATGGAAGAGGCCTACAGACTTCATTGAAGAGAAAGTAAGTACTGTTTTCTTGCTGTTTTTTTTGTCATAAAAATGGAATCCTGTTAATATCCCAAGTCTATTAGATTACTCATTGAACTTAGCTTACCTTGAATAGTTAAGTTCAAATTCAGGCGAACATTGTTACTATATAAGGTATATAATATATCATTATGTACCAATTAAGTGAAATATTGGCAACAAGTGAAATTCAAAAAGTTTGACTCATACTTTCTTTTGTTCCCCTTAACATGAATATCACGAAAATATGTTCAAGTCATCTATGCAGACTGTGTCTATAGAATTAAGGCATAAAAAACTGGCCCTAAAGTTTTAAGTTTATAAAGATATACTCGTGAATAACATCAGTGTGTTTTGAAATATGGAATTGTGCTAATAGTATATAGTCCATAATTTGTTTACTCAAAATTGTTTGATTTCAGACTCCCACAGTAGTTGATATAGATGGCTGCGCAAATGGTTTTGATTTGGTCTCATCCAATGAACATATACATGACAGTGAGGTAAATACGCAATAAAATTCTGCATTCTGAATCCAACCAGGATTTCAAAACAAAAACAGAAGTTTTAAATGATTTATTAAAATATTTATGTATGGTGTATTTCTTATTGTTGCATGAAAAACATTTCACTTACACGTTGATTAAAACAAATACTTGATTTGCAGTTGATTCGTACAATCATCAGCCAGGTGTCAGCACTGTGGCAGATGAGTAAGGTCAAGGTTGAGGTCACGGAGGACGGTGTCACAACAGAGGAAGTGAACTACACATGGAAACCTTGGGAGCATATATACGCCATTCAGAAAGTCGGCAAAGGCCCATATGTGCCATCTTACAACTCTCATGGAAAATATGTTGTCCGCCTGTATTGGATGGTAGGTTTAGAACTTTAGATGCTCTGAATAAATTGTGTTCTGAGAACAAAATCAGCACATTCATTAACGAAGCATAACCTTTCATGGAGATTTTTCTTCTTAAAATAGAGCTTGGTTTTTACTCCTAGACTCTGCAATAAGGGTAGGTGACTTTGTAAGGAGCTAACAGAATTGCCCATGTTCACACCACTGAAAATTGTTATTATTTACCATGAACATTGTTATAGGGCACATGGAGGAAGATTATCATTGATGACACAATACCATTTGATGATAAAGGCAACATGCTTCTACCAGCAACCAGACTAAGCCATGAACTGTGGCCAATGCTGCTTTCTAAAGCACTCATAAAGGTGGCGGCACTAGAGTGAGTAGCAAAAGAAATTTTAGCATTTCATTTTTACTGATTTGAATACGTCAATGCAATAACTAATAGTTATTCAAATTAAAATATGTCCAGTAAAAGAAAATAATATCTGTTTTAGTACAAGAAAAGATATTTCACTTTTTGTGATTTTATAACACGGGGTCTATGGTGAATCAACCCAAACAAGAAGTCACATTTTCAAAAAAAAATTAGATTTTCAAAGTTGATAAACAGTTTTCGAAACCATGTTTCTAGATGTACTTTTACATGTAGATTTCAAGTATGACATTACTGACTGAATTTTGAATATTTAATGACGTAAATCAAGATTATTTCTACTCGCATCTAGTCTATTACAGCTGCCTTCCAGTCTCTCTCAAACTTTCAGATTAGTATGAGAAAAACAATAAATATTAGAAAATGAAACCCATATCCAAATAATGTTAGGATTTTCAAAAATACAGAAACAAAATTGATAATTTTTTTTTTATAATTTTTTTATTTTAATGATTTATATTTCAGTTACAATGGTGGCAGTGCTAATTGCGAATTTGGTGATGTCAACATTATACAGTGCCTGACGTCATGGTTACCTGAAGTTATACCTTTACAGTAAGTTCTCCTTTTTTGAAGAGTTCTCCAGTGAATTTTCTGCATGATTGAATACTGTCTGAACTTATGAATAGTTCTTATTCTTGTTTGAGTTCCTTGCTTTAAAAGTGCTTTGAGATTGAATCCACTGCTTATAGATTATGTAGATGCAAAAAATGCCTCATTTTTTACCCATCAATATTTTTCTCACATTAAATCTTGATATACTTTTATTTATATCGCTGCTATCTTTATTGCACATTTGAATTGCACATTTGCCACCTATTTATTGCACATCTGTTATGCACTTTTACCCCCTTGTCTTTTATCACTGACTTCATTAATATCATTTTTATAAATAAAAGAATTGAAAACAATGGTTATTGTGATGATTGATTTCAATGCATAAACATATTCCCCACTCATTTATTCCAAAGGTCTCTGTATATAGAAGACTTGTGTTCGCATAACAAGGTTAAAGATGTGATGGACCTTGTTCACAAATTAAATCGTTTATCTGAAGAAGGTATCGATGTGCAGAATGATAAAAGCACATTCACAGACAGGCAAGGCTATGTGGAGTTATAGATAAATAGTTTCATATTGTTAGATGTTTTATTTGATGTACTTGGGGCCTGTTATGAAAAAGTATCATCTGTAAATCATTATTCGATCATGATGTAATAGTAAATAGAGTTGTACACTTTTTGAAAGTTTGATTTGCTTCATCTGTTTGGTCCGAGACTCTGATGTTTGGGAGAAAGTAATAACTCTGAAAGATTTGTCAAATTATGAATCACAGGATATTTGAGTTGCAGGCCCCAGAATAGATACATAATTACATATATACGTATACAGTAGTCAAGATAAAAGTGTCATCATTGAAATGAATTAAGGATTTCAGTTGTCTTTAGTTATTAGTTGAAGTAGATGGTGAACTTGATGGGCTGTATTTGTCATTTAATAACATGTTACAACATCTCAAAAACATACATGTATTGAATCATTGATACCAAAAAAATTATTTTAGCCCTATTGTAGTTTGGTCGTCTTCTGCCTTCATATACTCTACTTTAAGACATTTATGAGAGCATTGTTTTATTATTTATTGGTACAACTTTTATTTCTGTTGTCGGTAGTTCTTAATTCTACATAATTAACAAGTACATTTTTAAAAGTTACATATGATGTTTATATGTTAATGTTGTCCATTTCTAATGATTAATACTAATGTCTCAATTACTATCTATTATCGTATCTGTATGTAATTTTCAGTTGTTTACACATAACATGTGTATTACTATAGCACATGGATTATACACGTGTATTACTATATCTCATAATTCAGCACATGTTTTGCTATATAACATTATTAGGGGCGGGGTCAAAATATCGATGTTCATATGGAGACGAAAGTAATTTCGTTTGGACAACAACCCCCCCACCCCCCCTCTAGACGAAAGCTTAGGTCACTTAAAAAAAACATTGATTTATGAGAGGCATAATCGTATCCTATTTGCCGGGTTATTATTACGGTGAATTAACACACGTTCGCAATTTAACTGCATTGAACTCTTCAAAAGGAGGAGGGAAAAGTACGGAATTTATTTGAAAAATGATCGAATTATCGTCTTTATCTACCGATATTTTGGACCTATCACACAAAAAAGCTCACGAAAACAAGCCTTTTTATCAGAACATAGCGCCAGAAAAAGTGGGTAAGTCCAATTATTTTTTGTATATCAGATCCGAATTATCGATGTTTTTTTGGTCAACGAAAGTGCCCAAAAACCCCCTCCCCCCTCGCGAAAGTACTTTCGTCTCCATATGAACATTGATATTTTGACCCCGCCCCTTATACATGTGTATTCCTATATAACATTATTATATTCCTTTAGAACATTATTAAACACGTGTATTGCTATATAACATTTAATTATACACATTTTTTACTATGTAACATGATTATACACATGTATCACTATATAACATTTTAATACATGTTGTGTATTACTTCAAAGATTATTATGCATTCACACGTGGCTAGTGAAGATGTGTCCGATTCCAGCCAATCCAAATGAAGTATTTCGTGTAACTGCAGTGCTTTATATAAAAAATCATTGCATCCAAGGTCATCCCTTATGTGGCTATAAAAGTGACAACTTGACTTTTAGATTGAAATTGATGCTTTGCCAGCTTGATCCTTGCAAAAAGTTTCTTTGAAAGTATATTCTTTTCGTGATTTTGTATCTTTTAGTGACATGGTAGAAACTATTTTGCAATGTGTGTAAAGATATTAAACCCAAGACTCAATGCATTGTGAAATGACCATTTCTTTCAGGCCTTGTTTCCCAAAATTTTGGAATGCAACACCTTCAAGGAATGGTCAGTCCAGGGCTTAAATCCTTAAACATTATTATTTAAGTCTTGTCATTAAACCTGTTTTTATTCCTATTGAAAATATGTTTTTGTTTGTGAATTTTGTCTGACTGCCTTTACTCTAATATTTACTCAATTTAGAAATTATACATTATAAATAGAAAAACAGAAATATCCACATGAAATGTCATATATATTTTATTAATCATTTAATCTTTAACTAATGATTGACTTAATTTTTAGATATGGCCACATGAAGGAGGTGTGGGAGCTCCTCCAAAGCTCAGTGAAGAAATACAAACAGCCTGAGCCTGAACCAGAAAAACCGGAAGACACGGAAGAAAAGAATCTCGATCCAGCAGCTCAGGTACTTAATTAGGCGATTGTGTAAATTCAATATAATTTTTTTTCTATTTTTTATTTTTCTTATTTATTCATCCATTTCATGATGTTATCATGTATTATTATTCAATTCAATTATTCAATTAAATTCAATTTCAAAACTGTCTGCGGAAATATGTAGCCATTTCTTTTGGCGGTTTTTCAATTTTTAATTTGAAGCCGAATCTTCCAGCTGTTTTTCACATATGATACACCTATGTTATTAATACATATCTTTTTATTGTAAACACCTTCCCCCCTTCTGTAAAATACATGCTTTTTGGCTGCTTTTACACTTCCACTCCAATACAAGTTAAAGAGCGAATTTGCTTCAATGTATCATGCATATATGATTCAGTTACATGTATGTATGCTCTTCAAGTGGGAGGTGTGTCATATCACGATAAACACCATTTCCTGACTTCTGTCACATTAACTGATTGATCATGACTTCGTGAGTCAAATGATAACAAATGACTCAGATTAATTATATGCAACACAACATTTTGCGTAACCATGGTATGAATGAAACCACGTGCTGACAATTTCATAATAACAAAAAATCATGAATGAAAATACTATCATAACATCTTAGTCTTAGTCACGCTAATGACACGCTAATTACACCCGCAATGTTTATGATTATCCCAACGAATGAAGTTCGGTAGGGATATAGTGAAACCCTCTGTCCGCCAGTCAGTCCGTCCATCCGACCGGAAGATAACTCAAATACTAGCGGATGGATTTGCTGCAAAATTGGTGGAAAGATGTATAATGGTGAATAGTTTTACGCAAAAAAATGTTTTCAAGATGGCCGGGAATATTTGGCGAAAATCTTTAGTTTTTCATTTTAAACAAAAGAAATGAATATTATTGTTTGCAATTTTGATAGTATATTCACATCTATCTATGTAACATATATTCAGAGTTTTTCAGCCTGACCCCCAGGGGCTGTGTATGGGGGGTCAGGGAAAACAGGAATTTGCATTAATTTTGAGATCTTTCTAAAGTATAGCTTTATTATACTCAAATGAAAGCCAATTTAGAGTAGATTGAAAATGTTGTATCATTTTTTTAATGTGGGACTCGTAAATTTCAAAATGGCCGCCTTATGTTGGAATTTTGCAATAATTTTCTGATCTCTTCAAAGTATGGCTACTATATCATGCTCAAATTGAAGGAAACATGGGGTTATAAGAGCACAATTATCGTATTTTTTTTTCTGATTTGTGCCTCAGAAAATTCAAAATGGCTGCCTAACAGGAATTCTTAGAGATTTTTTTAAAGTAAGTTGACATGATACTTTATTAGATCTGAAATATATTGTCTTTATTATTTGTGGGTTTGAAACTTTTAAATTGTCATCAAAATGCTTAAATCAATGGAAATTCTGATATATCTCTAATATTTTTATTTTAATATCTACCGATTATATTTCAAGGGAAGGGTAGATGGTAAATATTACATTGTGACAAATACAGAATCATATATGTTAAAGTGTCCGTTGGGATATGCTACTCCGTGGAGTTGCCATTTTCTAGTTGAAATAAGTGTAGAATTCAATTCCTAATTTTAAGAATTATTCAGAAAATTTATTCATACGATGTATTAAAATTTCTTGTGGGGTTGAAATGACTAAACGTACACCGTGTTAAGTGTTATGTGATTGGCTTATGGTTACATTATTGTTTATGAATGGTATAATTATATGAGTTGCGTAAATTATTTCTCAATGAAAACTTTTTTTGTAATTTCCTGTAAACATTACCTTTCGTTATATACATTTAATGATTGGTTTAGAGATGTTACATTATACATACTAGATCGTGTTTACATTAATGGACATAATTATGTATGTTACATAAATTTATTCATGAATATTCATAAGATAATTTATTCTATTGTGAAATGTCTAGAAGTAACAATAGGTATTTAAAGCCATGAATTAAAGACTTTGTTGTCAAACTACTAGCTTCAGTCATGGAGCACAGGCAATGGAGCATTAAGTGTTAACATGGGACTGTGTCATGGAGCATAGGCAATGGAGCATTAAGTGTTAACATGGGACTGTGTCATGGAGCATAGGCAATGGAGCATTAAGTGTTAACATGGGACTGTGTCATGGAGCACAGGCAATGGAGCATTAAGTGTTAACATGGGACTGTGTCATGGAGCAAAGGCAATGGAGCATTAAGTGTTAACATGGTACTGTGTTATTGGGGTGGGGGCAAATGACATATAGAATTCAGTGTGATGGATCATGGAATATGGTAAACTAAATTACTTTTTTTCATACTTTTTATTGGACTAAAATGGTATAATATTTTGCTATTGTCTTGTGCTACTGAACGGATGGTTGAATACTGTTTGTAACTCTCAGAGCAACGTTACTCATCTCTAAAACAGGATTTTGGCTGATACTGGATCTGATACGGGAATTTTAATTCCTCGTTTATTTCCCAGGGAAAACATGTTATTATAAATAAATAAAATGTTTTTTTTTAAATGTTTTTATTCTCAGAGTAACAGAAATCATTTGTCATTTATTTTCAAAGCATTTATTTCAAACAGAGATTTTGTATTGAAAGATGAGATGCATTTTCAGGCAGAGCAGGCTCCTGTTGAGGAAGAAAAGGTTGTGGAGAAACCAAAAGAACCAACAAAGCCAGAAAAGCCTGACCCAAAAGCTGGCAAAGAGAAAGGCAAAGATAAAGGTAAGGCTTCTTATAGTTTCCAACCTTTTTAGTGGTGGCAGTTGGTGTTCAGCATTCTGCATTTGTATCAAATGGCAGGTCATGACATTTTGCATGTTAATGGCTTTTTTTGCTTTATACTATTGGCGAATAACTTATTTGTACCATTTAATTGTTATTCTAAAGTGAAAGTATATTTATAATGCCAATGTGAATTAAAAAGACCCATACAGGTATTAACACTTCTTTGTCAAATCTTAGCATATTCAGTTCCTCTAAATATGGGTTAATAATGCGTTAATAATACACAACAGAACACAAAGTTCTGCAAATATAGTTAAAATGTGGCAGAATCAATCATTAATTTCGCAAATGAACTTTTATGTAAATGCACTTTAAAATTGATGTTGGAGATTTACTGGTACATACTGTAGATTTTATTAATTTATTATTAATTTATGCCTGCCTTCAATAAATGACTGTTTTATTTCTGTAGGTAAAGGAGATAAAGGGGATAAGAAAGATAAAGACAAGGGAGACAAAGAACGTGATAAACATAGTAAGTTAACAGTCATTCCTTAGATATACAAATGTAGTTCTGCTGGGATCTCTCTCTTGTTGTTATTATGGCATAACTTTGTAAAGTTACTTTGAAAGTTTATATCACAGGGTCCAGTAATCGATAAATTAAATAAAAGCCAACTTTTTGTTGAGGCAAGTCTAATACTTCAATGGTCCCAATTCAAAATGAACTTTCCAAGGGTATGAAACAGTACTTGAACTTGGGACTCACTTTTAGTTGACAAATTATTATTGATAAAGAATTAAAAAACTTATTGGACACAAAATTTATTTTTCAGAAGATAAATCTGTATATGGAGATGATGGCCCCATGCCGGAACATCCTGAGTTAGTCGTCTTTGCCAGTTACAGCGACCATCCACGATATCCAATCCGTGTCACAGCTCTTGGGCAAATGGCTGATGCTAGCGAGCGTCTAAGACAGACTGGCCTCTCTCACATGTACCCTCACCCTGTGTTGATCACGCAGAGTCGCGACTGCGATCTAGAACCACCACCACCCCCAGAGAAAATTCCAGCATGGAAACTGATTCGTCCTCGGAAAAAGAAACCATTGCCGACAGATGAACCTAAAGAGGAGGAAGTTGTCAAGCCGATACAATGCTTAGAAATTACGTCACCATTTGTCAACTATAAAGTCAGTCCTGTTCCTATTCCTCAAGACACGTAAGTTGTTTTTGGTATTATCTTACTTTCAAAAATTCTTAAATTAAAGCATAGCAAAATATGATATTGTAATATTGACAAAAGCACTGGAGTTTAAATCACCTTGTCTTGTACTATATAATAATATACACGACCAAATTAGAGAGGTGTTTGGATGGATATACAGGTTTTACTGTACATTATTTTCATTGACATTGATTTTATCTAGTCACCGTCCAAAATCCATACTAGAGCGTGGAGGAAGTCGGCCACCAACCGCCCCTGTGGAACCCGTTGAGGAAACAGATGAAAATGCTCCTACCCCAGAGCCTGAGAAACCTCCTACCCCCAAACTGGAAGATGTAGAAGAGTTGCCCAAAGTGGAGGTGACAGTCACTGTATGTATCAGGTTTCTATATATGTGTGCTGCACTCACTGGTTCTAATGGTACCCTGATTCACCAAAGTTAGCCACACTAACTACACTCTGACTATTACAGACAATTTCACTGTTTTAAACACGATAAGATCTCAATAATTTCAAATGTTTAAACAGAAAATGTAGTGCCATGATTTACTGACTGCATATTCTGTTTGAATATAGGCTAAATCAAAAATGATCTGTAATTTAAAGAGTGTGGTTCAGACAAAACTCTGGGAGAGGGTACTCTAATGGCTGGCTGGTTGTTGTTGTTTCATGCACTCAGTGTTTACTTTCTAGAACTCAACTTAATATCTAATGCATGCTAAAATTTATTGGCCCTGAATTGGGCCTTTAATGAGTCAGTTTCAAATTTTTTTATCTAAGTTTCTAATTTAAATTTACTTTCAAATATTAATTTATTCCTAATCATTTTGCATGGGTGTTTGTTTCATTTCTATAATGCATGTTATGATTATTTAAAATCTCAATGGATGCTCATTTTGTGAAGAAAAATTTGTTCATACAAGCAGAATGGGTCATCCCCTGATAATATATTTTGTATGTGTTCAGAATGATTAGTCCCTATCATTTTTGCACAAGAATACACTGACTGGTTTTGTTCAATCCTGATGACTGAAAAAAATGAAACAAAAATCATTCTAATTCAAAATTCAAATTCTAAAATCATGTGATACCACACAAGTTATACCTTTTGTTTAGAATGGCAATGTAATATAAGAAAAACGTGTGTCAAGATGGATATGTCTAAATTTTCTTCCTAATGATGGTATCTTTGATGGAAAATACTGGCTGCAGCAACAATATATATATATAATACCATACACTGTACATTCTCTCTTGGTGTATAAAAATGAGCCAGAATATTGCAAGAAATATGTGTTATGGGGAAAATGTGGCCTGTCCATCTTGCCTCATAGTTCATCTTGCCCCAGAGGCTCCCCCAGGGGGGTTATACCATATGGACTGTTATCAAAGTCTACCTGAATGCATGAAATGTTCCAGTTTTAAATGTATAATGTTGTTGCACACATGTCAAGAAGTCTGATACACTTAGTTTTTAGAATGTCTGTTTATGTATTTCTGCTGATTTGGTTTTATATAATATTATATAAAGTACCTACTGTATATGGCAAAACCTGTCCAGTAAGCCTTTTTTCTAGATTTTTCTAGATTTTTCATCCTAAGAATGTAGGGCTGAGAACATTATCCACATTCTTCATATCTATTCAGATATTCGAAAGATATTTTGCCATTGTTTTACATTTTGAAAATAATATAGCCACTCATTTCATCTTTTTGGTTAGTTACAAATTAGTTTTTGGCCCAGCAAGTGTAAGATGTTTACTGACAGGTTTTACTACAGTGTATATATTTAAAAAAATATTTGATGTATTGTGTATACATGTATATTGTTTATACTGTAATTATTGTGTTAATAGTTCATGAATTATGTTTATGAATTTGTTTAGGGACCAAAAGTGCGGAAAAAATCCAAAGTACATGTAATGAAGCTTTTGTTGTAATTATAGATTGTGAATTTGTCGCTTGGAGCTGATAATTAGATGATGTACTGTAGATATAATGTTTTAGCATAATCTGGAATTTGTGAGAATGTTCAAATAAGCATCTTTGCATGCTTGGTCTTCACTGTGTCTGGCCGGAAGATGCAAAATATGAGTAATCTATGAATCAATCAATATTTGGGTGCTGTGTTGAGATCATGCAGTGAAACCGGCATGTCCAAACAACTCTGCTATCTGAACACCTTCTGTCTTTTCCAATTTTATAATATGAAACCTGCTGGTTTCATTACTTTTGGGAAGTTCCAGTGGGGTTCAGATATGACAGGTTTAACTGTATTTCAAAATATCTGTCCAATATACCATGGTAACAAAATATATTACTCATATATTTTTAAACATGTTTATTTGATATTCTAATAAATTCAGGATTATGTATTTTGTCATCACATATTTCATCAAGTGCATGATCATTATCATTAGAGAAAATCACCATTAGGGGAAATCATTATTTGGGAAGATCATCATAACTTTTAAACAGAATTATCATAGTATCATCACCTCTCGTTTCCCTGTCAGCATTTTCTGTAATGTCAATTTTTTTATTTTTTGTTCATTGTCTGTTTATTATAAAAGCTTTTTATTTTTTATTTGCCATTTAATTTATTTTGCATAATTATGTTTTCTAAATTGCATATATTTTTTATTTATTTTATCTATTATTTGGATGCTTTTGACTACAATGGCACACAAAATCAGTGCGTCCATTAAGATACAATATATCATCTTATTTAGACTACATTTATAGCTAAAATTCTTGCCTAAAATCATTTTGTTTTATGGATATAAAAATGTCTGGTAAATTCAAATAGATAGTGTGGCATGTGGCGAACAACATTGAAAAATAATGTGTTTGGAGAAAAGGGATGCCCTTTTTGTACTAGAGTTGAAATGATAAGTAAAAAGTAAGTTAAAATCAAGGGCATTAGTCAGCATATGAGTCAATTTTATTATTATAGACAAAACATCATGCCCTTCAATTGTTTTAAAATAATGATTTCCTGTTGTCCCGTATTATTAATAAAAGAGGTTGGTAAATAGCCTGCTTTGTTTAATGTGTTATTGGACAAACTTGTCATTGTTTTGTAACCACGGTGCTACATGTCTCTGTGCCACGGCAACCAACTATGTGTCATAATACTGAGATGCTTCCTGCAGTTTTGCTTTATGCCTCATTGATAATGGGTTCATATATACTTGTAGCCCCCAGAGGAGGCAACACCCAGTAAGCCAGGGACACCAAAAGGTGCCAGGAGCCCCATGGGAAAGAAGAAAGGCAAAAAGGGAGCTGCCTTAGATGCAGAAGAGGCTGAAAATGTAAGAGCTATTTATATTTTATTTCATTAAAAATTCATAGGGTTTAAGTAGAGCTATATCTCATAGGGTCTTGGAGATTAAATATCATGGTGTCCAATGTTAAATCAGAGAATTCATAGCTTGTGGTGAATAAACTTCATCTTTGATAAACTACATCTTGGTTAAATCCAATGCTGGTTAAGTATCATGTTGGTTAAATCCTGTGTTTGTTTAATTTCATGGTAGTTAACTCCTTAGTTTGTTTTTAATGTTTTATTGGATATTTCAGAATTCTAAATCTGACCGTAAAATGAGTGTGGGCGCAATGGACAAACCAGGAAAACTGAGTCGCAAACGTAGCGCATCTAGGGAGCGCACAGAACCTGCCAAATCTGACTCTAAAGAAAAGAACAAAGAAGAAGCAAAAGATTCTAAAAAAGAAAAAGGTGCTTATTCTAGAATCAAGACTTATGTCCCATAAATACAGAATGGATTTACCATATGTTAACATTTCCTTTGGTTTTGCAAATTGGGGCAGAGACTAAGAATACTTAATGAAATTCATTCTTCAACAGCCTTATATACTTATGAATTTTTATGTAAATGGAGAGGATATACTGTTTATTTAATACCTAACCTGATTGTGTTTCAGCATTTATTATAAAACCCCAAAATAAACCAATTAAATTTATTATCACTGTTTTAGATGGGAAGAAAGGCAGAGGTAAATCAACATCAACAGAGATGGAAGAGGTTCCCGCACCTGCCCCCTCAGAGAACCTAGAAGATGACCCCACCCTGGGGGAAGAAGAACAGATTGAAGAGCCGGAGGAAGACCCCTGGGAGGGAAAGGCTCGTGAAGCTTGGATCGATTTTGATAATTTTGTTAAATGTTTCAAGTAAGTTCATGTTTAAATATAGCCCTTAGACACACTTATTTTTTACAAATAGAGACATTAATGTTATGCATTTTATCAAAATAAAAGGAACAATACTAAATAAGACAATTAAATTTTCAAAAAGCCAGTTCTTGCACTTGTACTTATACAAGTTGTATCTAGTACTGAACATTGTCGTATTACATTTTCTGTCTTGAAGATAAGTGAAAAATGGCCTGAGGAGAGAGGGTCATTTTTGGCAATTGTAATATATAAAGTAATATAAGAAAATATAACAAGCAATACAACGAAGATGTTATACATCATTTTTGTCACTGTCTATCGTTTTCTATTGTGAGGCCATCATGAAAATAGTACTTGTATCTTTATTTTCAGGACATTGTATATCTACCACAAGACAAATACATATCCATGTAATCATAAATACTCCGATCTCAAAGTAAGTGAACCATAGTTTTACTTTTGATCTTTCGTACTCTTACATTAACTGCATTATTATTTTTTAATTGAGAAATTCCACTTTACTTATGAGAAAGTATCTTTAGAATAGTGCCCTTGGGGTAGGTAGTACCTTTAAGATAGTGCCTTAAAACTGTGTGTTCTAAAACTAGTGAGTGGAATACCTGTTGGTTTTCCCATTGCCTTATAAAAATTTATCATTCTTTTTTTCTGTAAATTCTATAGAATTCTTTAGGCACTTTAGTTTAAACAACTTTAGTTACAAGAGTTGTGTATAGCAGTGAATCTTTTTATGATTTTGTTATTCATATTGGCCTGTATATAAAGTTATATAGAGAGAATGTCAAACACTCGCTTCAATAACCATAGTTACATTGAGTTGTAATCCTTTGAAATATTCTACTTCAGAGTTCCATCCCTATTCATACTCCTGTAAGTTTGATCCCGACATATTTTATTTTTAGTTGACCGCACCTGATTATTTCACCCCACCATATTACATGCATGTTGCAATATCACTATGAATGTAGCTATATCACATTGTGGCTATCACAATGCATGTGGCAACATCGCAATACATTTGGCTATCACAATTTATTTTATTTTCTGTTAAATACTAATGCATCTACAGCTGCAGGGAAACCTGTCTATTCAGCAACTTTTCATCGAAAGAACAAATGTGGCAAATCATAAATGTGACCCATACAACAGGTTTCTCTGTCTTGTCTTATCCATTATTTTTCTTATCCATGAAAGAAAACGTCATGCATGTTCCATTTTAGGAACCTTAGTTGACTTTCTTCACCTTTTGTTACTCTTAGAGGAACACAGTCAATATTTTACTAAACAATGCTTTTAGAGGCCTCTACTGATTAGTATAAACAAATAGTTTCCAACTAAATGAATCACTTTAGCTTCCCACAAACTAACTGCCCACTTTAGGCCTTTTAAATAACCTGGAAGCTCTCACATAAGCCAGATGCCATGCTCACGATTAGTGTAAAAATTCATTCACAAATTAAAAATACACACATTCCGAAGTAGTGCATCTCAATCCAGACATTCTGTACATACATTTGAAAGCTGAATTAATTCAATTTTGATTATGATCCAGCAATGCCATCTGGTATTATGTGAGAGAGATTTCCTTTACTTCATACATATCTTGTTAAATATTTTCATTGGTGTTTATATTTTCTCTTTCCTCAAAGAAATACGAACAGGTCTATCAGATACAGCAGGTACTACATGTAGATCCCATCTGTGTTGTACCATGTGTATCTCTGTCTTCTTGCAAATACATGTCTGTTGGATACTAGTCATGTTTTGAATCACAAAATAGAGTGGAAAATTAGGGAAATTAGCATGGAATAAAATAAATAAACATGAAGTACTGACTCTAAATTATATAGAAATGCAAAACAATCTGACATTCATTCACATTTTGCTAGAAATAGCTTAAATAGACAAAAGTAGATGAATAGCATGGGATTTTCAAGAAATAAAGTTAATGGGCATGAAGCCAACATTCAAATTGTACAGAAATGTCAGAGGATTCAGGCTACTTCATTCAAAATTTACAGAGATATTTTTTGTCTGAACATGATTAGTGTCACATGTAAAGCAAGAAATCGTACCTCTAAATGTTTGTGAAAAAGTGTTGGTTTAATATTTATTGATCAGCCCTTGTATGGTAGATGTCTAGAATATTACCTACTACCTTGTTGAAGAAGAGTGGTGGGGGATTAGGATGATAGGTTGTCGGAATTCTATAGTTTTCCACACTGATGGAATCCCAACCCCTTTGTGATATTTCATTGTTTAGATTCCCATATGTACATTATGGTTTCCCATTTCAAAGTTTATTTTGAAAAATAACCATAACCCCGAAGCATGTTCATGTAGATATATAGAAAATGTAGTAAGCATAATTAGATTTGTTTTCCAGTTATTTAAAGTATTGGAATATATGTATATCCCCGTGTATTGTACAAAATACATTTTCCCATGTACAATTCCTTTGGGTAGTTGACTAGATGTTTTCTCAATAGACATACATGTACAATAAACATACATGTTTAATGAGCATTGTACGTGCATATATTGTAAATTCTTTGATATAAGAGTAGAATTAGTTGTACAAATCTTGCATTTATAGTTTTCTCTTGTTGTTTGCCCAATAATAATAACTTTATATGCATTGAAAACGATTGTACATGTACCAGTAGAATTGATTTCTAAACATATAATTACTGTATAGAGAAATTATGCTATATGCATAATCCAACCTGGAAGGAAAAAATTGTATGGAGAATATCTATAGTTTTAATAAACTACTATATACTATTTTTAGAATGTAGCCAATGTTGGTAAAGGCGACAAAAAGGATAAAGCTGCAGCGGTAAATAGCATATATGTGTGTCTATGTTCTTCCATCCTTCAGCCTGTGCTTTCTGTTATATATCGGGTTGAAGATGCTCTCCTACCAGCCTTTCCTTACAGCCTCTTGTTTCAGCTTAGCTTAATTAAATTCTGTGATTGTCTCTCTGTACTGTCTAATGTATTTCAGCCATAGTCTAATACTTCAGCTTGAGTCTCATGTATTTCGGCCTGAAGCTAATGTTTCTGAATGAGTCTCATGTCTTTCAGCCTGAGTCTAATGTCATTCAGGCTGAGTTCTAATGTTTCAGCTTTAGTCTTTCAGCCTGAATCTAATGTCTTTCAGCCTGAATCTTATGTCGTTCAGCCTGAATCTAATGTCTTTCAGCCTGAATCTAATGTCTCTCAGCCTGAATCTTATGTCTTTCAGCCTGAATCTTATGTCTTTCAGCCTGAGTATAAAGACTCTGAGTCGAATGTTTCAGCAAAAGTCTGATACAACCTCTGTTTGTGACATTTGCAACTATTAAATGTGTGTCTCCTTTGCTAATCCCATACTAATAGTATAATGTGCTTAATTTATTATCTCCTTCATATTTATTATTACTTCTGGTATAATCTGAATGCCACAAACTCTCATCAGATTGTACTGTTACAGTTGATGAAATCCCTATATCATTGACAAACAATCATTGAATTGGGTTGAATTGCATTGAATGGGTTGAAATATCAATTCAGATCATATAGATTAAGTTTGGAAGGCATTTAGGATCTAATACTGTTTAACTATATCGATCCATGGTTATAACAACAGAAAAATACATAAATTATATGATAAGAACGTCAATAATGTTTTATGTGTTTCCTTTTTAGCCTCCAACACTGGATGATAGGAACCCTCATTACTTATGTATCCTTTTGAAACAGTGAATCAATTAGTCAATTGTTTGAAAAATTATAGAAAAAAGCATAGAAATTAAAAAGCAGACATTTTTATTCTCAACAATTAACGAACAACATATTTTCTCATTTTTAAACTATTTGCCTTAACTTCTTGTTCAGTTGTTGACAATTTGAAACCCACAGAAATTGTTGTTTCATTGTCGTCATTCTCCCGATGGCAAGAACCCCCACCACCACCCCCTAGTGGCAAAGAAAAACACTCGGATGTTAATCTGAAGGATAAGGGTAAAGAAAAGACGCAGGACACCGAATTTACTGCTAATGGTAGCGTCTTAGAAGGTAAACCATTGGCCTCTATACTTGACAAATAGGAAAACAATTTTCAGTTTTACAATTGCTAAATAAAACGTCTTTGAATATAGAATTTATCTCATGTATGAACTTTTTAAACAGAAATCTAAATGTGCAGTATGACGATGATCATGAAACACCAAGTATAGAACAACATTCTAACAGATAAACTCAATTGCTGGAATTACACCACAAAATCCGCTAATTAGTGGAAGGCGCTTTACAAAATCGCCATTCTGATTACACCAACATTTCTAAAGCGTCTTACGAATTATATTTTGGAATTACACCTGTTTTTTCTAAAACGCCTTTTGTGCACTTTTAACGATGTAGTTATGGATAATATCCAGCATACATGTATGTGTACATCTCCTGTAAATGTATTCTTTTTGCATATAAGACAAAACTGATCTTCCATAATTTGATTAAAAATGCATGACATTGCATGATTTTTATTTATCTTTTATTAATTATGAGAAAACATAATAAAAAGGTAATCGAGACATTTCAATAGACTTGAACGAATACTGATATAATATACTTTATAAATCTAAGAATTTTCACTTTCAATGAGGTCTTATTTCGTTTAGGGCAAATGTTAAAAACTAGTAAAAACCCGGGTAAGATGTCCTACAAAAACCGATCGGTATTACACTGCACACTTAAAGCGCCTAATGACTTATGCCGTTTACTAGTGACAAGGGTTCTTGGAGTTTTAGAAAAGCGCTTTTGTAAACCGCAATCGTGATTACACCTAAATCTTAAACCTGGTTAAAACCGAAGAAGCTTTTGTAAAACGCCATGTGTAATTCTAGCAAATGACACAGCAAATGAAAAGATCTCATTATTGTTTCAGGTTCAAATAACAAAGAGAAGGCTGTGGAGCCAGTGGTACCTGGTCTACTGGTGGCTGAGCCATACTCTTGGAAGAGTCTTGTCACGGGGCAACCAATTCTGCGTATACGTACCACTGCAACTAAAGCTGCTGTGCTGAGTCTGCCAGAGGGGTGAGAATGACTTACTTTTCACTTTACATATGACAACTAGTTCACAACAAGTAAAACGTTTTTATCCCACCAAATAAAAACTTTCCAAAGACTTATAAAAAGATTCCATGGACATGTTATATGGAAGAGTTTGGTACATATAAACCAAAAATCAAGAGGAATTCCATTTGACAAGTAATTTTGTGGAAGCCCATGTGATAAGCCATTTGAAGTCACTGAAAGGAATCCCCCTCCCGGATCAAGGCCTTGTCATAACCATTGCATTTGGGATAATCCCAAATATATTTTGTTTTGCAGACGGCATGTGTTACGTTTTATGATCAATGCACCCTTAGGATACCATGTTCACCTCTGCTCATCTGTGCAGTTTGTCTACGGGGATGAAGAAACTGTCATGCCACACCTCACCAAGGTATATAGTATATATTGTTGGGCATCTAGAAACTGTAAGATATGTATGAGAAGAAAGATGTAATGATCAGGATGGCAGCCAAAAAGTCATTTTCAATGTTTAACCTTAAATTTTGGTTGTGTATGTATGTATGTATGTATACTAACATGGACTTGAAAAAAGGCCAACAGACACCACAAACAGAACAGTGGGAAACAGTTCATTAGAAAAGTATAATTGTATGATAGAACCCTTGAAATGCAATTCATTGACCTGTTGTTCTATCTGGGGTTTCTATTTGTATTTCAGGAGAGTTGCAGGTTCATAGACAATGCCACCCAGGTGATCCTGACCATGGGAAAATGTATACAGACATTCAATGACCCTGAGGCCAACTCTGTTGCCAGGGAGGAATTTGCTGCGGCTCATTGTCCCTACCGCAACGATAAAACCATGTCCAAAACTTACCACCACAAGGTACATTTTTCAATTTTATCATTTATTCTATAGTAACACCTGTATATTCAAACACCTTTCAGTGTGAACACTTTGTTTAGGTCCCAATTTAGTTATAAACCTTGAAATGTGAACCCCTAGCTACCAATCTGAACACTTTTGGCTGGAATCAGACAGGTTTTACTGTATGTTATTGTAAAGCCATGTCCCATATTGATGGACATGTATATCATATTCAGTATCAACTGCTGAACTTATGTATCTTATATCCTGATCTCAAATGGATGAATTGGAGGCTTAAAAGCCTAGTCTCAATAAATGAACTTAAACCTTACATGTGTATAAGTAGAATCTAAAATGTCTAGAGCCTGTGTCCTTTATACTTATCTAATATAAAATATTTTCTTTGGTAAATTAATGTTACACAAACTTTTATTGTTTTTTCAGCTGTTTATGGACTCATTTTACGGAATGTTAAGGAAAGCATTAGCGGACAACCTCAGTTTGGAAATGTCCTTTGCTTGGCGTGCATTTTTCTTTGATATCACTACAAAAAATATTCTTGGATTGCATCTTGGCAGTAGACCAGGTTAGTAGAGACCTTTCACAATTTCTAAAAGATGGGCTTTTTGGCTTTTATAAGTTACCAAAAGCCAGCTCCCAAAATGGGCATTTGATTTCAAGAAGCACTTATTCCAGTTGTTTAACATATATAAGAAATTTATTTCCATAGCAACAGCAAATGCCCATTTTAGATTAATTCTCATATTCTAACACTTTTCTGAATGAGCTATTTAAGAATATATAGAATCCTAGATGGACCGGTTGTGGGTAGGAGTTTGTGATCAGTAGCAAGATATAGTAAGCTGGGCATATTATTGGATGCATGTCTTGTTGGTTGCATGGCATCATTTATAGCAATCATGCATGAAAACACATCACCATGGCAACTTATTTGAATAATCACCTTGACAACAGGAAGTATTATGATTTTGAATGATTTAAAGTGTCTAAAATGCAGATTGAGGGTTGTTCAATAAATTTTGAATATAAGACTCAAAAAATATTTATTGGATGACTCAAGTACATCAGCCCCTGAATTCATAGTCCAATTGTAACAAACAAATTATAAGCAAATGTGAATTTTCTAATTTTTATCAACCAATAGAAGAATCCGTCAGTGCTTTCCTTCCACCAGGTAAGAAAGAAAGTAAGCTGTGGCTTGTTAGAAATGGATGTTTTTCGTAGACAATGTGCATTTTCTTCACATGTTTTAGGGCTGAAGTCATTCGCTCAGATTGTTTTAACTCTTACATCTTTGAAAAAGAAAGCTCTAAAAAAAGGTAAAACTTCGACTAGACATCTTGGCATCTTGAAACGCTTTTTTTTAACGAGCAGCTTCTGTTTGTTATTAATCAATACGACATGACGAGGAAATCTGGCTTTCCTATCTGTACAGAATCTAAGAATTTTTTTGAAGAAATTGTTAGATTTTTGTTTTAAGAATATTTCGCTATATCGTGTGTATACATGTATTAATCCACATTTAGTTGTTAGATTACAGTTATGTTTGTAGCTTATTTTATGATGCATTTGGTACAAGGATCCATCATGAATTACCGGTAGATCAGAATCCCATTTCTCTCTCCATTCTCTGTCTATCTAGTGTAGTTAGAGATTCGGTTGGCTGACATGGGTTCAGTAAAGTAAGACCCACTGGAAAACTCATATCATGTCATATTGAATGCCACTCCCATTGAACACTTCAGTGCTCTCCCGACCAAAAGTTTATTTGAGGGAGTCTGAATATTTCCAGTTCTTCATGATATTTTACATTCTCAACTGGGTCAAAGTGGAATTACAAATGGACATTATTGCCATTAAAGTGTTTGAACCATTGAGTTCCAGTGTGGCAAAATTGTTCATCTCTTTGTACTGTTGTATTGCTTCATAACCATTGGTCAATAAAGGACAGCCTTAGTGTCAACTTTGGCTCCGCCACTTGGGTTCGATTTTCATGTTGCATATTGAATGTTTTTATGTTAACAATGGGTGACTTCCACATCTGGAAGGCTTTCATTCTGTAGAGGTTGGTATATGCTTAAGGGCTCGTGGTTTCATTGATCCACTGATTCAGTAGTGCTTTCTTGGGTATTATGGGGAGCGTTGCCATTAGTTACTGTCCTATCATCTTCACAAGAGGTTAACATAAGCCTACTGCATCATGGGATGGCCAGCCCTCCAGTACATGCAAAAAACAGCTTCATGGTTGAACTTGCACATTTTAAGTGAAAAACATTTAAATGAATATGGTAAAACACAGCATATTTCTTACACAAATGATATTTATTTATCATAGAAGTTTGTTTTTAATTTTGTTGCCAAAAATTTATACGATCAAAGCTGAATGAACTATAGATTATACAAGCTGGGATGTGTGATTTTTATATAATTCATTTGGCATAAAGCTTTATATAATGTATATTTATGTTATATTTTAGTTATTTTATTCATGTTAATGTATCGTGTATGTCAGTCTTTCTGTTTGTCAGTATTTAATAAAAAGGATTCATTTTAGGCTGGGATGGATAAAGCTAAACATGTTAATTCCAGATTTTGGAGTTCACATAACTTTAATTAAAGCATTAAATGGTCATTATGGTACATCCTATATGTAAGCATGTAGTTAAGAATATCATTGCATTGCATGCTTTAAGCATGACATAATATTTAACAGAGTTTGAAACAACATTGCAACATCAGCAACCATTGAAACACATTTTGATTATTTGATGAATTAAATTGAATTATGATATATTGAAATCAGTATTTGTATTTCTTATTGCAAATAGTTTATTGTATACATTTCACAAATCAAAATGAATGGTCAGAAATCAAAAATCTTACCTGTTACATGGCAGGGTTAAATTGCTTCAATATGAAGCATTTTGACAAAAGGCTTTGTAAAGGTGTTGCACCTCAAAGATCCTTTGTTACAAAGGTGTTGCACCTTAAAGATCCTCTGTTACAAAGATGTTGCACCTCAAAGATCCTTTGTTACAATGGTGTTGCTCCTCAGAGATCCTTTGTTACTAAGGTGTTGCACCTCAAAGATCCTTTGTTACAAAGGTGTTGCACCTCAAAGCTTCTTTGTTACAAAGGTGTTGTACCTCAAAGATCTTTTGTTACAAAGGTGTTGCACCTCAAAGATCCTTTGTTACAAAGGTGTTGCACCTCAAAGATCCTTTGTTAAAAAGGTGTTGCACCTCAAAGATCCTTTGTTACAAAGGTGTTGCACCTCAAAGATTCTTTGTTACAAAGGTGTTGTACCTCAAAGATCTTTTGTTACAAAGTTTATTTGTCAAAATACTTCATAATGAAGTAATTTATTCCTGTTAGGAGACAGTGATATAAAACAAGTCCAAAACAGAAATATGAGACTCACCTGTTGCAGATTGTTTTAAACTACTAACCTATCATAAGCCTGTTACTTAGTTGTTGTTTGTTTGTTTTTATTTTGCATCGAGTTATTTTATGATTTCTAGCAACGGGAGCCACTAGCCACAGAGGTTCTGCTAAGCATACTAACAAGAATAAACGTAAGTTGTTTAAGTCATTGCCGATAAATATATATTGTCGACACTTAATTCGTTCTTGATTATGCATGTCACAAATGATATTTCCAAGTCAAGAATATCATATTTACTAATATGTGTGTTGATGTATTTAAGATAAGAATCAGACATAATTAACCTATTTTCAAAGTATGTAATTAAAATAAGCGAGAATTCACGAGTGGGTGTGTGCGTGTGCGTGTGCGTGTATTTATATCATTTTGTCATATTTGTCCTATGTTTCTTCCTCTGCCCATATTATGCACCCATTATATGCTTTATTTCACTGTTTATGTTATTGTTTTTCTCAAATGTTTTTTGTTTATTTTTTTTCAAAAGAATCTAAAGAAGCTAAAAGATTATCACTTAGCTACAGCTATAGTTCAGGTGACTTTAAATCTAGACGATTTTAAAATCTTAAGTTTTATTATCTTAATTTGTCTTATATAAGTAGAACACTTTCCTAAAATTTATTACATTTTCATCTTCTTTATCATCATTTCTATTCACAAATCTTGACTCTGACACCTTCAGTACAGGTTTGACACTTTTTGACCCCCCCCCCTCATGGGGTGCCACTTCTTGACAGTATCATGACTCTGTCAATTAGTTTTGTTTCAGTATTACCCTTTGTTGATAAATCTTTGATGAAGATCATTTAACTCAAGTCCCAAGATCGTGATATTGTACATTTGGGAAGATCCTTTCTAATCACCTTATAACCCCCCCCCCCCCTTCTCCTGGTCCATATAAATCTATAATATAGGTCATCTCATTGTAATTCTCTTTCTTGGTTGTGGGACCATCTTCTACATGTTTTACCTTTATATAGAGTTAATGTGTATGTTACACCTGTTAATCCTTAAGGTAGGCCCTATTGGATAAGAACTCCAAGTTAATATGTCAGATTACTCATTCTCCTCTGCCTTCCTTAATTGTAGTGTATCCTCTATGTTGAGTTAAGACATCTATCAATTTCTTCTTTTTTGACAGACTTATAAGTTGAAACATGTTAAGTATGAGTGTAAAAATGTTTTATGTAAAACTATTTAATACTTTGAGTGTACTATCTCATTTTCTCATTGTCCATTCTTTCTTATGTGGAACCAGTTGGTATCTTCACAGATAACAGTTCTTTCAGGATTTTATAATTAAATGAGTTTAAGCATACTGAGGAGATTGTCTTCCTTTGAACTGTACTCTATTTAATTTTGATTATTCATGTATGCTTTAAATATTTCCTTTTTCATTATTTATTCATTTTTATTAAGACAATATTAGACAAATGTCTCGTTGCCTTAGTAACCAGGAGCCCCATCAACATGTTTTTATTAATGAAATGCTTGTTTTCTGTAACTTTATAAGTTTTGTTTTTATTTATTTTGTTAGTTCAAGCTAACCTTATTTGTTCCTCTTAAAGGCTTATTTTTAAAACCACCCATTTAACACTGATCAATTTAAAGCTTGGTCACAAATGGATGACATTATAACAGTGGCTTTAATTATTTAAGTTTTTTATTTATTTTTATTTATTAAAATCATATAAACACTTAGATAAGCTCACATTTTAGATAACACTGTAATTAATTATTAAATGATTGTTGGGTTTAAAGTATGATTATTTGTGTGTCTAAAATATGTTAACTGTGTGTTCTGAAATGTTTCTAATATGATTTCTATATTTTCCATCAACCCCACACTCCTGCACTTGTAGAAAAATCTGAAGAGGGTATGTACCTTAATAATCACTTAGAACTAATTCCCAACACTTTTTGCACACCCCTCCTTACATTTCTATGTTAGAGTCTGAGGCAGTACAGGAAAGACCATGGGGTATATTAGAGAGGTCGCATTTGCCTCCCTGGGGCAGCATATAATTGTGAAATTATTGTTATAGAGCTTAATATACAATTAAATCTGTAAAGTTGAACACCTCTGTTAGTGGAACACACTTTTCAGAGTTCCAAAACCAACTGACAGTTAAATGAACCTCCGTAAGTGGAACACCTCCCAAGTGGAACACCTTTTTGAGGAACCAAAGGTGTTCCACTTAGACAGGTGTTAATGTACTTTTGGCCAGCCAATATTTTTAAAACCTATGTATTAGGAGAATATGGGAACTGTTTTTCTCATCTCATATTTTTTACTTCATGGCTCATCAACCCTCAGGTTCTCAAACACTAGTGTATCATAAAATTATCAAAACATTTTGACCAGTCCTCAATAAACATTTTTGTACATTCCTGATGTGCAGAACAGTGTTGGGATTTGTTCGTTATTAATAACTTAAAATAATTATTTCTGAGAATCTTGAATTAATGTGTGCTTGCGATTTACTATCCTAACAAAATACCAATTCTAATACAATATAATAGGCCCATGCACTGAGTGCTTTACTTTGTATTTTATTTTTGTTTCTATTGTAATGATTTCTTAAATTGAAGATTTGCTTTTGAAATGCATGATTATTGTCACACACCATATAAAAAAGTAGAAATGGATTTGCATTTACAATTTTTATTTTCATTATTTCAGAGAAAGAACCAGACAAGATGGAGTATTTCATGAACAAGTAGGTTGATTTTTCCAATTTTTTCTCTTTTTCTGTGTGCTATTTTAATGTAATCAGACTATATTTTCTAATAGATTAAACAGGAAACATTTTGTTGTAAGTTGGACAATTATTTTCAATTCTGTTGTATTTCAAACCATGATTAGAAATTTAACAAAAAGATTATAAGATTTTGCTCTAAGCCCTAACAATTTACATTTGCAATCATCCAGTTATAAAACAGGGCCTCATTCAGAACATTTCATAAAGTTAATTTCTAAAAACATTGTTCTTTTATAAATTTACTCACAATGTTCATGGAGAGTACAACATTACACAAATGATTTGATAATCTCAAAAGTTATGAAAGTTAGTGTAATGATCCTCAGTTTCATGTTTAGGATCATATCAACATTATATCATAACTTTTGATTCTTTAGTGTAGTCTTTATTACATTACAGTAAAACCTGTCTAATCGGAACACTACCTGGACAAACCAAAAGTGCTCAGATTAGCATGTGTTTACATTTCAAGGTTTCTTGATGTGAGTCAATGGGACATTACAAAATTGGAATCGAGAAAATGTGAATTTCGGATTAGAGAGGTGTTCAGATATAGAGGTCTTACTGTATAATTATTATTTTCTATTGTAGAGAATACACACCGGAGGAAATGGTGGCTGTTGTAAAAATCCAGACAAACTTCCGTGGTTACTTCGTACGTAAAGTCAAGATGGCTCGTACCCCAGGCAACCCTGTTCACGCTAAGACGCATGAGACTCTACTCAAAGCATGGCAAGTTATGGAGCCCAATGCTGAAGTCCATGGACTATTCTTATTCAGGTAGCTTTTTATAATACTGTTAGTAATAATATTTATCCCAAATATTATGCATTTTGGCTTATTAAGTCATTATAGACCAGTACAATTTGATATTTGAATAAAATATGTACAGTGTATGTTAAAAATTGTGCAAATGAATCAGACAAATTATATATCTGAAATGAAATTCTTGTCATAATTTTTCTTTTTTTGTAATCAATCAGAAGGATTGAAAGGCTGTTCTTTAAGAGATGGAAAGAATCTATGTATAATAGGTACCATGTTGTCAGAGTGATATACTAGAGAGTAGACCCCCCTCCCCTCCCTCTTCACAGTCAGTTAGGGATATATTCAAATTTCACTGAATTGTAGGATCATATTGTATTATATCTGTTTCCCTGTCACATGGAATCTTACATAATTCAGATATAAAGAATTTAGGGAAAGAGTGTTCAAGGTAGTAATTTCTACCTCACTCATCTTTTCCTTATATTTCACACTCAACTTTCCTATATTTCCCACATGACCCAAACCATGTCCCTTGGACTATCACCAATATGAATATATCAGTACTACAGAAGTGTGTTAAGCTACAAAGCTTGGAGGATAATGGTTGTGATAAGGTCCCTGAAAAGCCAAATGAGAAGGACAGTAATCATTAGAATTCATAATGTTACATGTTCATGTACAAGCTCTCTTAAATGTGTATCTTAATGTCCATATATTCCATACCTTCTAAAATTGCATTTAGTTTTATTGCTGGGAATACTGTAATATGTAATATATATCAATTTGAGCTTAAGATGATTCAAACTCCATTTATTTTTCAGTGACTCACATTTTCAGTGATTCACATTTCAGTTATTCACATTTTGATTGTTTCACATTTTCTGTTACAGAAATATATTCAAAGCAGACCCTGATCTGATGCCAAAATATCCATTCTTCAAGGATGAGTGGAATAAGATATCATATGCTGACTACTCTGGAATCTTTGCTGATCAGCCCAATAACAACTGGTTCCTTGTATTCAGGTCAGTTCAGTGGATTTACTTTATTATTGAACTATACACCATTTATTCATATTTCATTCACATTTTCCATTGACTTCACATATTCTCATTGATTAACAATTTAATGTTTATTGGATTAGTGAGTGACTGTACTACAATCTGATGAATGACTCTAATAGGATATGGTCATATTTGAATGTACATTCATTTATCAATTAAATTGTGTTTTTGTAGAGAGATCTTCCATGTGACTGAGGAGATGCTGGTCGTCCCTAAGCTCTATGTTCCCATTAACACCTGCATGCTGCGTGTTGTCAACAATGATACTGGCGAAGAAGTGCCACGTGTATTTCAGAAAACTGCCCCCTACGTCTACAAGAAAAACAAGGTGGGCCCCCTCTTTTATGGTCATTGCTTATCTCAAGTATACATTTATCATATGTTATGTTTGCATTAACTGAATGAAAACATCCAGGATGATTAATCTCTAGTGCGTCCCAGAGTTATTTTATTTTTTTTCGATTTTATTTTAAACTAATTTTTTGAGAAAGGATCACATAGCAGTATGTGCACATATTTAACAGATGTTTTTCTGTTTAACAGAGGGGATACACTTTTGTGGCGGAGGCAAGGACCATTGATCACCCACTGGCTTCTGGGAAATGGAAGATGCGTCTGATTGGTTCATTAAGTCCACTTCCTGCACCAATCAGAAATGAAGTGAGCTGTACTTTCCATAGTCGGGAAATCAAAGATTATTATGTGCCCAATGAGAGGAATGTCATCTTTAGGTAAGATTATCCATCAGAGCCATCTATTGAGCAAAATGTGCAAAGTATTTAGTTTTGCCCGAGGCCTATGATTTCCTGACTGAGAAAATATATAGTAAGGGAAGGGGGCAGATACTTGGTGCTAGACTACAGAAAAATTGAATAAGCTACAACTTGTCATGTCAAAAATCCAGTGGGACCAGCTTAAATTATTAAAATTGGCATATACAGGTGCTCACAAGTTTTCTTTGTTAGGATATACAGGTTTTAGTATAAGTACTGGCGTATAATATTATGTTAAGCATTACACGGTTTCATTGATATTATTTTAAGCAGTTTAAATTGAATGCATTATTCACAACATTTTATATCTTTCAGATACACTGTTAAAGTGACTGAAGACCATCTAGCCAGTCTACAGATGAACACATCCAAATCTGATGTCTACATTAAAATACAGGTATGCACAGAAAATGCACTATGAGTGAGTTCTTGAGAAGAGTGGCAGTCTTTATCAGCCTAAAGTAAATCACACATAGTGTAAAGTAAAAATCTAATCCAAACACCTCTGCGGCCAAAAGTGTCTGGATTGGCAGGTGTTCACATTTCAAAGTTTTATAAACATGTAAGTTAGTGGGAGATAACAAATTTGGGCCTGAGAAATTGTGTTCAGTGAAACCTGTCTAATTCAAATACTATTAGGACCAGCCAAAAGTGTTCAGATTGGCCAGTGTTTATGTTTTTAGGTTTTGAAAAATTATGACTGAAAATAGCTTTCACATTGAGAGCCATTCAGAATAGTACTAGAGAGATTCCAGATATTCAGGTTTTAGTGTTTTCAGCAAATTAATAATGTGTTTTAATTTAGATTTATTCATAAAATTCATTCAATCCATGTTGGGAAATGACATACTATACAACCAGGGGAGCTCAAATATATTCTTTGTTTTTTAGATCTTGGACCATGAGGAGGAGATGCTTAGTGCAGTTGGCAAAGGACATACTGTGCTCCCAGCATTCCTCTTCCTCAAAGATTATAACCCAGATGACCTGTTGGACAAGCGCCCTAGCTCTAAAATGTGTAAGTATTCCATAATATATATAGAATACCACAACACAGTCATAGTATACAAAGTCCTCATAAACAACATCTCAGTATAGGATGCCTCTGTTTACAATGTCTTTATAGACCAACAAGTGATTCAATATGTACTTGATTTTCTAAATTGAAAATGGAAAAGCTTTGATTCTGCGAAACATCCAATATTATTAGTTAGTCACATTTGTTCAATAAAAATTGATCATCTTGTAGCAAATGCCGGGGGCAAGAACAGTAAGCTTGGCAGCAACAGGCACAGGCGGGGGTCAGGAAGCAGTAACCATGGGGGACGTGCCTCTGTAAGTAACCCAGTCTTGACGTTTTAGTCCCTACATGTATATCACTCACTTTTTCAACTCAATTTTGGAAAAAATTAATTGTATGCTACACAGAATTTTTTTTTTTTTTTTTACCTTTTAACCATTTCCTTTTTGCAAGCATAGTGTAGATGTAAACTTGAGGTCACAGTGAAAATCTATAAAGTAAATAGCCTCACATCCTTGATTTGAAGTCTGCAATTACAATAAATAACCTCACGATAAACTCATAATAGTTATCCTTGTTTTAAAGGCCTCACATTGAATACCCTCAAAATATATCCCCTAGATACATAGACCCCCACACCCCCAACCCTGAATGATGTAACTCCTATAATGAGTGTAGTACCTGTAATGAATGTAACCCCTGTAACGATTGTAGTACCTGTAATGATTGTACCACCTGTAATGATTGTAGCACATGAGTAGAGAAGACCTGTCAATGTTAGACCATGCAGGTGATGAGGAGGAAGATGAAGAAAGCAGGAAGGTAAATTATAATGCAACATTAATTTTGAAACTGTATGCTAATATAACATGGAAGTGAGTCTTGCTTCAGCGGGTTGTAAAGCAGATAAGGGGGTCCAGGGTCTTGAGGCAAGACTACATGAAAGTATACATCTTTGAATATGTGAATAAACTGGTAGAAAATAACATTATTTTTTCGTTTGATTTAATTGCGTTTTATGTGTAATTTATATAAAATGATCCTCTCAATGAAGTTTATGAATAATCTCAACATTGTGTGCCTTCTAGCCCCACAAGTACATAGTGCAGGCTATGGTTCTACGCAACAGTTGGCCACTTTCTGAAAGCAGTTGGAACTTTGTACAACAACTCAAGGAGCAGGAGAAAAATGAACTGAAAAGTAAGTACAATGCATATTCTGAGTTTATTGATGTCTAAAATATTTTCTTGAAAAATAATAGAATTATTACTAACTCCCGTTTTGAATAAAAGAGATTCGACTTTTGAAATGTGTGCTTTATCAGTGTTGACTATTATATTATATGAATTATAAACTAAGTTTGTTTGTTTTGGTAAACTGTTTGGAGCATCATGTTTGCTTTTGTGTAGCTTCACTAACAAAATATATATGTATGTACATGTTCTCACTGTTTGCGGTATGCATTAGATTGAAAAATGTTTAACTTGCACTCAGCAAATGGAAACATTGTTGCTGAGAATCAAAATTAGATGTTGTAAAAAATTAACCCCACATTCACTGTAGAATAAGCAAATTATAATGAAGGGTGTTGTTCAGAAAATATTATGTTCACTAACCAACATCTAACCCATTAAGGGATGGTGCCCAAATGTTGACAGTCATGGGAAAACAACTTTGGTGTTTTGTTATTGGTGAAGCCCCTCCCCCTTATACCATATATGAAAATTTGAAAGGTTGAATTACTTTTCATTGGAATGAAAATCAACATTCTTCACTAAAATCATCATTACCTCTTCTTATAAAAGAATTGAACTATTTTTCGCTAACTGTCGACATATGGAAATCCCTTATACCAGGTGATAATAGATTTCTGTACAATTGCCTTCATTATCATGTGTGACACAAGAGGGTAATATCCCAGAATTCATAGATGATCCTATCTAGAAGTTCATCTTTACATGAAGATAGGTTCATCATGAATCCTGGGTAATTTCCTCCTCTTGTGAGAGTCCCATCACCATCAAGTAACCTCAACAATGTATTCGTGTTCACTTTCTTTATTGCATCACAGGAGACTTTGTTCCCCAACCAGAGGGTAAGAGAGTTTATCACAGTCAATATTTCACATACAATAACACCACTATTTACCACCTCTACATTGCATGCATTGGGTTTGGGATATAAGAAATAGACACATGGGTACTTGGTACTCACACAACATGGTTAAATTGCTTAGTTAAGAAGCATTTTGACAAAAAGCTTCCTCATGAATGATTTTGTGCTTGTGTAACAGCTGAAGATATTCCTTCATTTTGAAGCTTTATGTCAAAATGCGTCGTAACAAAGTAAATTAACCCTGTAAATGTAATACAGGTACCGTGAACATCTACAATAGAGACATGAAAATTATACATGAAAATATGTCTTTGCTGGGATTCAGTCAGAATATTCGAAGTTTGTTGATCTCAATCTCGTTCCTTTCATTCTTTGTTTGTATTTTCTTTTGAAAAATCAATAAATAAATAAAAATGTGACAGAAAAACTACAACACATTTTCATAAATGGAATTTTCATGTCCCTATGTTCACATCTATAGGAAAGGGGGTCCTATTGTCAGAAGGAACACATGCAATGCTTTCATATAAATTGGATAAAAACAATCAGCGTTTATGATTTTCTTGAAATTGAAACCCAAATTAGGGATGCAGTGAAATTATGGCATATTTTGAGAAAAATGTGAACTTACATGGCACATTTTGGTACATATCTTTTGGAATGAGAGAAATCTACAGGGTGTTCAACAATCTTTGTAAATGTGTTCAGTATGTAAAACAAAGATTGCAAGGGATACCCTGTAGAATGAGACATACTAATGATAACTTGGATATGGGTATAACTTAATTATCATCTGCATTTAGAGCAATGGACAGACAATTAGCATCTTTGATGATTAAGACGAATATTTCTAAAAAGTTTTAAAGGGAAAAACAGAAGGAGAGCAACTTTTTCAAAATGTTTAACATTTCGCCCACTGTGACTGATTCTTCAGCTTTAACATCAATAAGTTTTCTTCTTGATGATAAATTGTCTATTGTTCCAAATGCAAATAAAAACTGTGTATTTGAACTACAAATGTGTCCCAGATTATCATCATGTTTTTCTTGAGTTCAAATATACAGCTTTAATTGTGGTTTTATATAGGCCTAAAAGGATGAGACCCCCAAAGGTTAACTGTTTGTTTAGCTGGATTTTTCCAAGAAGTTGGCCAGGGATTATCTTCTTTTCTTTTTTAACATTAAAATATACATGATATAATGAAATAAAAAAAATCATAAATAGGTTTGAATAGGAAAGGTTTTGTATGACCCAATATGTACTGCTAAACAAACAATTAATTTTAAATGGCCATAGAGTTCAAGATGTCTTATGATCCAAGGGGTGATCATGATATTCCAATGTTCTTATTTTTCAATATATTCTAACATATCCGATACCTTATTAATCCTGTACTTTAAAATATATTTTCATGATATGCTTATTTTCTTATTTTTCAATATATTCTAACATATACAATACCTTATTAATCCAGTAAACATATTTTAATGTATTGGTAATTTGGAATATATTGAAAAATAGAAGTTGGAAAGATATTACGAGAGCTTTATGATCTCCCCATAGTCCACGTGTGCAATCATATTGGTAAGCTGCATGATATAAGTTGTAATCACTTGAGTCTCTTAGAATATAAGATACTATTTCTTGAATTTTAGTAATGCCGTGTAAATTCTTACTTCAATTTGCATTCTGCACTTGCATGTACATGTATACTTCTTAAGGTGCTCTGTATTTGTCTTTCTCAAAAGCAAAAATTAAGGACTTAGGGATATAAATGACGTACGCAGGAGACCTAGCTGTGTTTTTTATTAAGATACCTCTAGTTAATATACCTCCGTTGATTAAGATACTGGTACTAATATTTTTCTGTTTTGACTGAAAACTATTTATCTGTTTGTTTGTTTATTTTATGTAATTTAAATTGCTCCAGTGGATCCCCAAATTGACCTTCTTCTTCTTAAGATTCATAATTTCACCCCCATCCTGATGTAAAAATTATGTTATGAATTTGCACATTTCAGTCACAAACAAAGAGAGGCCTCCCTCACCCCCAAAGAGTGACAAAACCACATCATCCAAGGGCAAAGAGAAACCTGGGAAAAAGAGCAAGAAGGACACATCGAGGCCCCCCTCAGTGGTGTTTGATATCGGAAAACCCCATTGGACCATCAGAGTCATTAGTGATGCTAGTCAAGCAGTAAGTATTCCAATCAAAGACAGTTGTTATAATCTCCAACTTTTTGTGGTTGGTGTTCGGTGGTTGGTGGTTGGCAGTTGGTGTTTGGAGTTCAATGTCTGTAACAAAGGGCAAGTGTTTGCAGTTTGCATGTTAATGCCTTGCGATTTCTTATTCTTAACAGAATAGAAAGATTTGCTATATTTTGCAAGAGTGACATAGAGTGGACAGTTAAAATATGTGCAATGAAGAGGGGTTTTGGAGGATTTATATTTAGGGTTGACATATTGTAATTCATGTATTCTCACTCTCCAGGAAGAGATAGATGTAAGGAAAGACACAGAAAGAGCAGATGAGATCCGTGCCATGAAGAAGGCATGGGAGGATGCAGAGCCTGGTAGGGCAGCTAAAGCACAACAGTCACGGCTACAGTATCTCAATAGTCACTTGGTCAAGGTAGACCAGAAGGAATCTGAAGGTACTTTATACATAACATAATTTTATGGAGGGCCATTTTGACTCAAAGGCAAATCAGATCTAGCAATAACTTGGTTGCTTCATCTTGATTAAAATTGTTTCAATTTTAGAATATTTTGGGCTCATATCATTCATTGTCTTGCCTATTTTCTAAAAATACCCCATTACTTTATTTGAGGAAAACTAAAGATTTTTTACAATAATGCAGTCACTTATCTATAAGAATGGTTACTCTCTAATAATCCTTTTCATGTAAACAATGTATTTGTTACATACAGTGTGAAAAATCTTACAATAAAGATAAATATAAATATACAAACTTTTGTTTACTTTTCCAGCTACTGTGGCTGCCAGCTCTGAATCTCAAATAGATGGCTCTGGTGATTTGTTTAATAGTGACTCAACACTTACTCTTGAACCACCCTCAGGTCCCTCCGCCAAAGAAATAATTCCTAAGATTGATCTCACACCATATCTCAAGTAAGTAGATCCGTCTTTTTCGATATTCACCAAAAGAGCAAGGTGACAAAATTTAGAGAGTTTACCATAGAAGTGGATAGATGGAATGTACTGTACTGTTGACAATTTTTATGAAAGCAATAGAAAACATTATTTCTCTGTTAATGCTATGTAAATACACCACTATTTCCTGCAATTGATACATATATGCTCTCCATAATCTACTCCAAAAACTTCAAAAAATCCATCATAAATGAGAGTTACTAGTATTCCAAAAATGAAGGGCTACATTTTTCAACCTGTGCACTATTTTACAGAAAAACGACTGGTAAACCACGTCTGAAGGACGAGGCTGAAATACAACGTCAATTAGTGGCCAGAAAGCAAGAAATAGAAGAGTATAGGGCATTTAGGGAAGGAGTGGAAGAGTGGCGCGAGAAAGATCGCATAGAGAGAAATGAACTCAAACAGAAACAGCTGCAACTCTGTGAAAAATTACAGGTAATGCTGGAAGCAGGAAACAATTGTAAAGCACATAAAATGGCCAACTTGAAAATAGTCATACCTCTACAGGGGTTTCACTAGAATTTCTCACAACAAGCTAAATAAATGAAAACAACAGGCAAAATTAATGGAAATCATAAATTTAACATGGAAGTCCCTAAAAACAACAGGAGATTTTCACTGCCTGTTTTCACAAAAAGTTGCCTGCTACCTTAAATATGATTTTTTCTAAATATGTTAAAACGAAGAGCATAATTTCACTGAGCTTTTATTATATTATTGCTAATCCAAAGATATATTTGAGTATGACTATTTGTCAGTCTTTTAAAGCTATCTCACTAAATAGATGAATATTTAGCTTTAAGAATGCAGATTTCATTAATTTACAATGGACAATGATACTGAAATACAGAATAGCCTGGAGTTTATCTTACATATATATTATCTCATGCATTTATCAAAATTCAGAATTACCGTAGAAATAATGTAGCAGTGATTCCAAATAACATTGAATTTCTGTTGAATTTTAGGAAAAATGGTATACAAGACAACAAGAGTATATTGTTGCTATGGAAATGTATAGTATGACTCACTTTCCAGCCCCTTTATACACTCAGCATGAAGAAGAAACCCCTCGTTTAAAAGTAGTCCCTCGTTCAAAAGTAGTTCGTCGTAAAAAAGTAGCCCCTCCTAAAAAGCGTGCCACTCAGACCCAAATAGTATCTCATGTTGAAGAAATCTCTCTTGAAAATGTTCATCATACCAAAGGAGTATTTCCAGAAAAAGAAAATAGTCCCAGAGAAAAAAGTCCCCTTGTGGACCATTATACCAAAGGGGCATCTCCTAAAAAAGGAAATAGTCCAATAGAAAAAAGTCCTCGTGTAAAAGTAAACCATCATGCCAAGAGTGTCACTCCTGAAAAAGAATATAGTAACAGAGAAAGAAGTCCTCATTTAGTGGCATCACCTGAAAAAGAAAATAGTCCCAGAGAAATTAGTCCCGATGTTGTAAAAACACCTCATAGTAGAGCAAGTGAACATGAAGATTCACCCATCCCTTTAGATGTATATCTCGACTTGTACGGTTGATTCCCTCTAATGCTGTTTGATTTATTATAGGCACCAGTAGTGCTTCATTGACATTGCAATTTATAACAGTAAAAGTAACAGTTAACCCTAGATTTCTCCAACACATTTATTAGGTGCATGAACCCGATGTTTGCCATTTTGTTGAAAGAAGGCATTTAAACATTTGCAGAATGCAGACAATTATGTTATATTTTATTATATGTTAACTGAAACAATTTGAAATTTACATATTCTATTGAAATTGTTGACAAGAAATGTGAAATCAAAATGTTTTATGAACATCCTCCCCTATTCATCCTCTCCCCTCACCTACCCCCCCCCTCACCTACATGTTCACTTCCCTATTCACTCACATCACCTTTGACCTTTCACATAGGCTGAAATGGATGAAGCTCGACGGAGAATTAACGGACCCAGGGAAGCCTTCAGACAAAAGTTCCTGGAAGCTGAGAGGGCACGTTTGGATGAGATCGCAGCTTCTGAAGCAGCATTACACGAGAAAGCACCACCATCTCCCAAAGGGCGCAAGAGCGCCAAGGGAAAGAAGAGCCCTGGAGGGAAAAAGAAGAAATAGACATTTCATAATATTAAGAAATCTAACAGTATTTTATGAGAAAGCTGGATTAGGGACCAATTGTTTGATTACTTCAATTTATTTGTTTTGGAAAACTATAAATGTGAACACTTGAAATGAGAACACTTTAGTTGGCCTTAAATGTGTTCATATTCATATGTTTAGACTATACCTAATATATGGAATTATTAAACATTAGTCTCAAAGCAAACATTATATCTTAAGAGATATTTTCTGATACTATAGCCTATTTATAAATATATTTTTCATGAATTGACCATGTAATGAATGTTGAATGAAAAAATTGTGAATATGTGTACAAAAATATTTATAAAAACAAGATGCTCAATAAAATAATCTTGTTTTTTCTCATTTGTAAATAAATCGAATTCCGTCCAGCTATTGAAATAGCATCAAGCCTTTTTATATGTACCATAAAAATATGTAGGTGATGTCGATTTAGTGACCACACAAAGAGTATTGACAAGTATTTGTTTGGTCTTTACTCAAATGTAAATAATCAGAAATTCCCTCCACTCATAATATACGAATTTTGTTATTATATGTTATCTTAACATCGACTGTAATTTTTTTGTTTTTTGAATTCCTGTGTTTACTTCTATTAATTTTTTTGTTATTTCAAGTTATAGTAGAATTACTCAGATCGAGATGTGAGTTTCATTTGGTACTTTTTGGTCTTGTTTTGATATTTTCTTTATTGATAAAATACTATGTTGTAAATAATAAGGCGAATCAGAAAATGCCGTCCTGGAGCCTCACTCTGGCACATCTGCCCTTATTTGTCCGTCCACAGAGACATCTATCGAATACACCTCCGTCCTACAGCTCAGGATTTTTTGACAGAAATACTTCTGAAAAACATCGATCGATACTTTTGAAATTTTTTAATCAGTATGCATTATAATACATCCCTTCAAATAGAAATTGATTTGAATAAAAAGTTTTAAAATAAATGCAAAATAGTAATAAGGGTTTCTAACTTTCGACCACATACATTTTAATTGCCATGAAATCCTGAGCTAAACATTTGGCCCTCAAACGATCCGTCCTCTGTGGAAGTACTTTCTGTTGTTGCTTAATTATTTAAATATTTTTGTTTCATTTGTGTCTCAGCAAATCACACATCATTTAACATTTCCAAGCATTTGCAAATATCACACTAAATTATGCCTTGTTCTAGTTTCTTAAATTACATTTTTAATGTTGGTTTTTTCATGATGTTGTTGCCTTGTTTGTAGACCAACTTTGTATAATTAAATTGTACATATTTTTAAATGTAATGATTTGGAATTAATTATACAGTCTGAATAAAGTTTTAAACATTGCTATAAAATGCGCATGATTCAATGCATGCTAAGTATACATACATACATTCCATGTACCAAATAAATATAAAACATATCAAATATTAAATGTAATTTAGCATAATCTGTAAATAGTTTGTATATTATGTACATGTTCTTGAATGAATAAAATTGAAGAAAATTAAAAACAATCAAAGTTTGTTTTATAATATTACTTTATTGTATTTCTTATCTCCTCCTTATAGTATACAAGACCAAAAAGCCACTAACATTGTCAGTCTGTGAGAGTATAGTTTACAGTTTAAATATGTAGAACACATGAGGTTGAATGAGTTTCTGGCTTTTATGCATGCTTACATATATCCATAGTACTTATGCAGGATCATGTCCATGATATGTATCCAGAAAATGGAAACTTACTGGCAAAACATCCATACAATACTGCAGGGATTTCATTGAAAATGTGATTGCCACATTTTTATTGCATATTGTGATTCATCAGTCCACTGCGCAATTAACAATTCTTTTTTCCATGTTCATTGTCAAGAAAGAAAAGTGATTGCTATTGGCTGTCAAGCTGCTATGAGTTTCGAATTAATAAAAGACGAGTTATGGCATACATAACTTCAATGGCATGGCATAACTGGTTTATTTCAATATGCTGCATGTCCAAATATGTCCCCTACTACCATCAATGTCTATTAGCCTCAAAAAAGAATCCTTCATTAAATTAATTTGGCAAAATAACTATTCTACCACTATCCCTATTATATGCAGAACACTAGCTAGCCTTTAAATTGAGTAATTGTCTAACAGACTCCTTATATTGTTCAACAGTGAGTTGGCTCTCTCCCTCATTATGAAGACTATTTACTGCGTGTTTGTAATTCTGAATGGGACCTAATTTAACAATTGCTTCCTCCTCGGCATCATGGGATAGAGTTGCTAGGTAACCAGGTGTACTTGGGACAACAGCGCCATCTGTAGAAGTTGATGTTTCCATCTGGAAAAAATGTGCATTTTGATATTAATCTAAAGCATCTCAACTTGAAATAACAAGCCCCGAAATATATTCCTTGTATCAAAGATTCAGTCCACTTTAAAATACAATCAATAAAAAATAATTTTAAGATATTAAAAGATATTAAAAATCAGAGATAATTTTCAAATTATTCACAACAGTGTTTTTTGTCTTGCATTGAGTATCACATTTGGACTAGAAGCTAGACTACTACCAAATAACAGATACAATTGTAATATTACCTGTTTGGTTGTGATTTCTTTGATCGTGCATACCAGATTCACAGCACTCTGTCGTGATTGGCTAATATCCCAGAAATATTGTTCCATATCTACCTCAGATTTTTCTAGCTCCCATGGTTCAATTTTCTACAAATAAAATAACACTGTGATAGACAGTAAATATACATACTATTGTACAGGTATACAATAATCTGTATTTTGAAATAGGCCTATGGCAATTTTCATTATTCACTCATATCTCGCATAAATTAATTCTATTTATAATTTGCATATCAGACATACAAAGGATGTGTGACTTACCCATGATTCATAGTAGAGGGCTGTCAAGAGGTACATACAGTAGTCATAATTTTGTTGCTTCAATGGACATCTGAAATACAATATTTTATTTTATTATTTATTATCTAAAAACGACATCTTTAAAATGCTAGAAGACTGAAATTATATAAATTATGGGTGTTTCATATTAGGTTAAGATCATAAAAACAATAGATTAAAAAAAATTATCTTTATATGAGTTCCATACATAGAACTGTCTATTAATGAACACAAATGGAACTGGCAAATGTTTTTGATTGATATGTGTTTTTAGATTTCTTAACAAAGCAGATAAGAAAAGAAAGGTGTTCATATTTAGAAGTGTTCAGATTAAGGAGTTTGGAGGTCTCCTGTACTGACCTATCTGATTCTATGGTGACCATCCCTGACTGTTTGTCATAGCGATCTCCAACAAGTCTAATGAACTTATCTCTGGCATGGTAATCAAGCTCCAATGATGATAATTTAAACTACAAATAAGCACAATATATGTATATATGTTCAATATTAGATCTTCACTCAATAAGTAGCTATCTGAATTGTGGTTTTGAACAAAAATATATTGTCTAAGGTTTTATCACACTTGGAGCTATCAAAAGACTAAAAACTGAATTGAGAATACTAAATGGATTCTGTTTAATAACTCTGCAGTTATTGTACTTTTTGGTCGTAAATATTTGAAAATATGTGCAAAGAATATGTGAGAGGAAAGCTAATTTAAATGTTAATAAACAAAACAATTGATACATGACTGCATCTTTCCCGACATAAGTATCTAGACCTATTTCTAAAATTACCAAACAAATATAATATATATGGGACAATAGAATGAGTACCTTAATCTTGGCCACTCTGGCTCTGAAATCTCTTTCTGAGGGCCCTGATTTACAATAATCTGATGTTGTCACGGTGATAGGAAAATGTTTGTCACAGCTTTCATCTGTTTCCAAACCTTCTGGCCACTCTGTACAAAACTCTGCAAAGTTAAACAAGCCATTAACATGCAAAATGTCACAACCTGTCATTTGTTACAGATGCTTACCGCCAAACACCAACTGCAAACCACAAAAAAGTTTGAGACCATTACAAAATGAATTATCATAGGAATGATTTCTTATAAATGATTGATTTCTTATGTATAGCTAGCATGGTTTACTGAAATCTACCACAGAATAAGGTATTGCTCACCTTAATTGGTGGTAAATAAAATTCAATACAATACAGTACAATTAAGGTTCTTATTCATCAAAAATACGAACGCGAATGATAAAAGAGAGGTTAGGATACATTATTAATTCATAAGGCCGTAACAAAAATTTTAGTACTTTACTTTTTATAGCAGCACAGTGTTTCTTTACATGAGCAGGTGAGAGATGCAGGAAGTTTGGAATCTTCATCAGTTCAGCATTCCCATACTTTCCTGGGACAACACCCTCATTTTCATCTGTTTTCTGGAATGTTTAACAAAGATCTAATAAAGACAGGGCATTAAGATGCAAAACATCAACACCTGCCAACCACGGAAAAATGAATGCCAACCGCCGAACACCGTCCACAACAAAGTCAGAGACTATAACAATATAGCACCACTTGTGGTAGTGACATAATAGGGCAGTGTTTTCAATAAGGCAATAACCAGGGAGGTTAAGCTACACATTTTAGGATACCTTAAGTCTGTGTAAAATTATAATTCTCTAGTGATTAGTTCACCTCTTTGTAGTATGTACTTGATAGATTGAGTAACAAAAGGTGGGATTTCGTCTCTGGACAAAAAACAATTAAGATGGGGGGGTAGTAATCTCGGGGGTCATACAAATACACGTTCATGTACAAGGTTTCTCAATTTTTTCAGCTTAACGTCCCTAATCAAGTTTCTTCATTCATTTAAGACCACATCCTCTGATCGCAGCACTCCGAGATCCAGGATTTCTTCCTTTTCTTTCCATACATTCATAATCCATTCATTACTTTCAATATAATAGGAGGAGGAACAGATTCTGGACACCTGCTTCAGGAGGATGTTAGGATAAGCAACATTACTTTTTCTAAATGAACTTCATATAAATATTATTGTTAATTGTTAAAATATTCAATGAAATAATCAAAGTGAATATGTAGCCTAATTTTCACAAGGACATACCTCCACAAAGCCTTGTCTTACGGGGAATGGGACAACAGATTGCTTAAATGTGGAGTTTGTGGGCCAAGCCTTTGTCCAGTCTTGATCCACTTGCATTCGTAGAGACCTATCTGGAGGAACCTGCAATAAAGATAATAAATTAATGAGGTCTTCAAAAATGGTAAAACTACTTTTCATAGCAGTATAGTGTCTCTTTACATGGGTAGGCATGAGATAAAGGAAGTTAAACCTATCTAAGAAAGTAAAAGTCTTTCTGGAGGGACCTGCAATAATGATCTAGTTCAGGTTATTGTTCTTCATATATAATTTCAGTGAGCTGAAAATAAATGAAGATATACAGTAAAACCTGTGTGAGTAAACACCTTTGGGACTGCAAAATAGTGTTCCACATTGGAGGTGTTTTACTGTTTTATAAGTTTAATTTTTTACATAAGGATAATGGGTAACAGAACTTTCGAAAGTGTTCACTTCATGGAGGTGTTTCAGAGGTGTTTTACTTTTTTCCAGGTTTTACTGTATTTGATAACTTTGACACTACATTACCAGCATTTTGCCTAAAAATTTACTGAAAAAATCAATTGTTTGCAACAAAATGATTAAATTTACAAATCAAGGATTTAAGCCCCATTTCAGTTTTTAGCCGAATTCCTCGTATTATTGTTATAATGTCCTTACCTCAGCTCTTTTGCGTTGGCGCCTTTTCATCCTTTCCTGGGGTTTTGCTCCGGGTATCTCATATGTTCTAAACTCATCATCTGAAACAAAAATAGATTTCTATCTTACTTGGCCACTTTGGATGATTTTTAACACAAATGAATGCTAATAGTGTCTTATAGCTATAGTCCTTCATAAAACATTAAAACTTTAATGCTGCCTTTGATCAATTAGTATACTATGACCCATTAATTGAACTACTTAACCTTGAGATTTGAAATGTGAAAGCTGAAATGATCTGATTTTGAGCCTGACTCCGAATGTTGAATACAGAATAGATGGGGCTGTCCATGCTCTGATGAGTTAGACTATCAGAGTTTTGACTTACATCAGGAACCTTCTAATAATCAGGGAACCTTCTATTAGATTTATTAATAAAGGTGCATTTGTGCACCTAAGGAGGCAATCAAGAAAGGTAATTATGAAGCCATCTCTAAGCTCCAAGGGGAATTGGATTGCAATTTGTTCAGTGCTTATTTCTATAGCAAAGTTTGCACGAATAAAATGTGATGAGAATGGCTGAAATTCTAGCGACTTTGATCGATTTTGATGACACCGTTGAAAATGTTGTTATTTTCTGACATATAACCAAAGGGTTTCGAGAGACTATAAATTCATAATCAGCAATCCAAATAAGGGACTTTTCTGCTTCTCCAAAAGATTTTAACTAATATCTTGATCACTTCTTATATTTTGAAATTTTTTGTTTGAAAATAATACTGTTATGACCCAAGGGCTCCCCTGGGGAACTATAGTATAACAAACCAGATACTGAACATGATATTGAAGAGTGCTAAAGTCATGCAGGTATTGAACTCAGTACCACTTCAGCTGAGACTGTAGAATCAACTTGTTATTGAGGGTCATTACACCATCCCCCTGAAGGACAACACCTCGTCGTTACTCAATGATACACAAAGGCAAATCCCACATCTGAAAACAAGGGCTTCTCCAGGGCTCCACAAGAGGGGGCAGTGAGGTCGCTTTAGTCACTATCAAAATTCCCAAATTGTCATTTGTCACATTTAAGCTTTACTTGTCATTTTTTGTCAGATCATGGGCTCTCTCTGAAAGCCCATGGTCAGATTAATTCCTTTTTAGTCAGTCAAAGTATTTAATACAACAAATGGTCTGTTATGTCCCATTGTTTGATTACTGGTTGGAATAAGTTACCTTTGTTTGCATCCATTTATATTCAGAACGAATTGTCTATTTTTGTCACTTGCAGAACCCTTGTCAATCAAATCAATGTAAACTGTCACTTGTAAGCATTTATTTGTCGCATTCGTTCATTTTTAAATACCCGAAAGTCATATTCAGTCCCATTTTTAGAGGCCAGGTCACCTTGTCATATACCCCTTGGGGGAGCCGCCCCACCCCCAGGAAACTGTAGTCTAGTGTAACAAGCCAGATTATTGGACATGAAAGGGAGTGTGATGCTCCCCTGAGCCATAAGGGCTAACCACTACAATTGAGACTGTAGTGAAAACTTGTTATCAAGGGTCACTATATCTTCAAGACAAAAACACGATTCAAATTCTGACGTGAAAAACTCCTTCAAATCAGAGTCCTTCTTCAAATCCCTGCAGCTTGTTGTTCAAAGTGAAGTTGTCTAAGCTCATTACCTGGTTCTTGAGCGTCTTTTCTCTTCAGGGATGAATCCTGTGGGCTCAGAAATGAAGAATATTTACTAATAAAATTTGTATTTGTTCTGTATACGCGTAATAAACGCCTAAATTGAGAGAAGTTTGACACTTTCTCAAACACGGTGGCTGACATCTTGAATCTCGCAGATGCAGCACGAGAAAATACACATGCTATCTATTGCAAGACTTACGCCTGCCACAACCGTCACCATGTTAATCAGTGTTTTTTAAGTAGCGCAAGGATCCTGCCATGACCGTGGTAGTGTTATCGTGTAAGCCTGGTATAACCGTGACAGGCTGGTATAACCGTGACAATGCTGTATTCTATTACAAGGCCTGTCATGACCCTGGAAGTGTTATCGTGGAAGCCAGGCGCGACCGTAGCCTTTATTGTGGTTTATAAGCGAATGTGAATATTAATGTATAGTAGTAATTTTGATTTTGACATGATTAAGGTAGTTTTAGTATTAACTGTTTAATTGTAATGAGGATCACTTAAAATTGTTAAGGATATTCCTGGCATTAATGTCATACATATTTACTAGTCATTGCAATACATTATAATGGTCATAGTAGAACTAAGCCTAAATCTCTACATTACCACCCTCATACCTGGCCTTGCAATACTATATTACATTGTCACGGTCATACCAGGCTTTGCAATCCCATAATACATTGTCATGGTCATGCCAGGTTTTCAAATACACATTGTCACGGTCAATTATAGCAATCATAAATTTCTACATTACCACTCTCATACCCGAACTTGGTATCACATTGCCATGGCGGTCATACCAAGCCTTGCAATACTATATTACATTGCCATGGTCATGCCAGGCTTTGCAATACACATTGTCACGGTTATAGCAGTCCTAATCGTAAATTTCTACATTACCACTCTCATACCTGAACTTGCAATACTATATTACATTGTCACGGTCATGCCAGGCCTTGCAGTACTATATTACATTGTTACGGTCATACCAAGCCTTGCAGAACTATATTAGATTGTCACGGTCATGGCAGGCATTGCAATATAATACAGCATTGTCGCGGTTATACCAGGCTTTCACGATAACATTACCACGGTCATGGCAGGATCCTTGCGCTACTTAAAAAACACTGAATAACATAATGACGGTTACGCCAGGCGTTAGTCTTGCAACAGATAGGGTCTCAGAAAATACGAGATCTCATTTGCATACAGTGTTGGTGTAATGGCGGACGGGGAGAAGCAGAAAAGTGCCTTATTTCGAAGGCACGAACAGATACTTAGATGGAAAGATTCGGATACAGTAAATGAACCATTGAAAATAAGGAAACCCAAAGTTAAATTCCAAGATGGCTGTGTGTTTCTAGCGGCTTGTTCAAGTGGCGATACGGACGAAGTAAAAGCCCTCTTGTCAAGAGGAGCGGATATAAATACAGCAAATGTGGACGGTTTGACAGCACTGCATCAGGTTTGAAACGTTTTTATGGTCTATAATCATGGGATAACACGATGGATTATAACTCGGTGGATATCATAAGATGTATTTATATGGATTGAAATGATAAAATTCATATAAAATCCCCTGGAACACCTCAAAATTTCCCATCCAAAAAGTGACAAAATTTGAGAAAGTTTGAAACTTTTGAACTTTCCTTCCTGTCCTCCTATTTCCAGGTTTTCCCATTTTGTTCGAGACATCAATCATTTGCTATATATTATGTATATAAGTTAACTCCAATTTTCTAGGTAAGCTGTAACTTTAATTTGACACATACATGAACCAAATTTCTGTCAAAACATCTATGACTGAATTAGGATGGAAACCTAGGGATGGAAACGAATCGGTTATCTCGGGGAGAACTAATCCTGTGCCAGGACTATAGTCCTGAGAACGTCTCAATCTTTTGCCTGTACGATTACAACATGGGAGAATTTTCTACGCCTCTTACACTTAAGATACCTACTTCAATAGATTCCTGGGTATTTTAGCATTCTTTTTGTGTAGTTGAATCTACAATTAGATCTATCTGGGTTTATCTGCAGAATGGGAACATTTTTCTTTTTCATTGAGAGAGATTCCATCACTGTGCAAGATTGCGGTTGGATTTAAAAGGGGATTCCTCGCTTGACTGGCCCGGAAGTACCAATAAATGGAGGAATTTGACGGTCAAAATAAATTACACGCAAGTATTGCGATCAAAAACGAAAATTTCTTTGTTCTGTCAATAAACCCAGACAATTGTGGATTTAACTACATGAAAAGAATGCTAAAATACCAAGGAATCTATTGAAGTAGGTATCTTAAGTGTGAGAGGCGTAGAAAATTCTCCCATGTTGTAATTGTACAGGCAAAAGATTGAGATGTTCTCAGGACTATAGTCCTGGCACTGGATAAGGGAGAACCATTTCAAATCTTGGCTAACCTTGTCTCAGTTTTTCTGTTCTGTCTTATACCTTTAACCTGTATTGATGGAAAATAAAAACACAAAATGAAATCCTGTGCTTTAGGGGTTGGTAACATAACGATAGTGAGGAATTATTTAATCATTTTGGTAGGCCTATACCTCCGAGGCTGCTCTCTTTTGCTACCGAAATGGATCTGTTGTCGTAAAACAGTTTGAAGCGTTTCACCACAGTGACATTAAATTCTAGTTTTTGTATCTTACATTTTACGCTAGCGCTAAGTGAGAGAGTAGAAAGGTTACATCACACAAGAAGAATCGTAATATTGCAATATGTTCAAAAATACCCTGCCATTCTATTCAAGGGCAGATTGAAGTTCAGCACATACTAATGAAGGAAAGAAGGTCTATTAGAATCATTTTTGGACCCTACACGATTATATCTTATGATTTGGTTCTTTTGGTCTTCACCTTTTTTTGATTGAGTGATGAGAGGGGGTATTGCATCTTAGCTTGTATATATGATGGTATCCACTGAGATATTATTGTAAAATATTTAAGAAATATTGATTTATTCCTTCCTCCCCCACTCCTTCTCCCTGCTTTTAGGGATAGAGGCAAGGGGGGAGGGGAGGGGGGGGGTAGAAAGTCTCGACACTTGATGCAAGTCTTGTGTGTGATGTAAGTAGCAAAACTCCCTTGAATCTGTATATTAAACTAAGTCTAATTTTTCTATCTATTTTTTGAAAAGTCAAGGAAACAACAAGAATCTATAGATGGAGATTTTGAAATCAGATATGTTAACAGATTCTATAAAAGACATGTTACTTTTTGAGGAAATGAGAAGAAAATTAGTGGAATCTTGTTGTCAGTAGTATTCTGCCTGGTAAGGCAAGTGGCCATCAGTGTTATTAGAAGCTTGTTAGTGCCAGTTCCCTTTAGAGTCAGAATATACACAACCCTTATAACAAATCATGAAAATCTGTAAAACATTTGCATAATTAATTAAAAGCATGCATCGGAATAGCCACTTAATTAGATGTTATCAAAAGTGAGAAATGCTTTTTGGAGAAGCAAGAAGATAGTTGCTTGAATCTTTCTAGAAGGGAATAGACCTTGGCTAAAATACCTCAATAGTTTTGTTTATTCTGCTGTATTCCCCTTTTAAGTCATAAGCCTTCAATGAAAATCTTGATTTTGGATATATTTATGTAATTCAGAGTTTTTACTTTATGTCCGTTTGATTTCTTCCTTGCAGATTTCACTCTTTTGCATTCTATTTCTTATTTATAATCAAAGCTCCCACAACTTTCTCTTTACCAGGGAGTTTCAATCTGAAGGTTATTTGGTTATTTATAGAGAAGCCAGTTAAGGATCATCTACCCAGCCTCAAAATTCTAATCTGTTGGAATATTTACTTAATTTTAGTTGCTGCTTTTTAATGAAGCTTTCATTCATTGATTTCCTCTAAGTTTTGTATAATGGGGGAGGGGGGAGTAATATGTGTCAAATTTATTGAAATTTGGATATTTTCCTTGGGTCATGTTGTTGACTAGGATTAGCTAGTTTAGTTCCTTGTTTCAGATCATGCTTGTTCATAAGACTAGCATTTACTTTTATATGTATATATTCCCCACCCTCATATTTATAAATATAAGAAGTTAGGTTTGGGATTTGTTTGTGTGTTCAATGTCACTTCAGTTCAGTTTCTGTTTATCACAGAGTCTTGCTTCAAGTACATTATTTTCAAATCTCCCCCCCCCCACAGTATATTCTCTGTGCATGTGACAATGTTTTATGCCCTATATATTAGAAGTACGTAATAGGAAGGTGCTACACAAGACTTTGTTGCATCAAGTTCTTTATTAATAACCCCCCTTCTATCCCATTCCTTCTCAGTGCCACTGTCAATGTAGAGTAGCGGCATAGAGAATATGAAGTCAACACGCAACTTGATATTTTGAATCATAGATGTTTTTCTGTATTTATTACATTTCACTTCTGTCAAGTTTAGGGACATTTTAGAAAATCATCATTTTTGGAAACATTATTATTCAATGAAGAATGCTTTATAGCATAAATTAAAATTATTGGATTAATCTAATTAATCAAACTCCTAGAGGTGTTAGACTAGAGATATACCATTATAATATTATATGATAAATATAGATACATATTAAAATCTTTCTAATGCATCTATTATGCATTAATGTTACTGAATTGGTTTGACTCACACTCAGTACTTTTAAATAAAAATCATGGCTCATAAGTTGCCAATTTTTATGTTATGCAATACATAGTTCTGCCCATACAAGGTTTATCTTGGCATAAATGTAATTCAGAAATCTATGCCAATTTTTCATTCATATTAAATATAATCGATTTGTACTATTTGTGAATGAAAAAATAATGAAGAAAACTCTCATTTTTATCCAGATTAAGAAATTGAGAATTCCTTCAAAAATATTTTTTCAATTGGATTATGTTGATCAAATATTTTTTCTTTTGTGAAGTCCTATCTCTATGGTATATCTGATTTCACTCGTCTAATGAGTTAAGTAATAGTTAGACTAGTGAATAGTTTACATTTTACTTATCAGCCAATGAACAAACAAATTCGACTTTTATCATAATTTATTATGAATATAAAAAATATGAAAATTCCATTCAGTGAATTATACCATCTTATCTCACTTTTAAACATTTCATTTCTAAAGAAAGCCAGTGAGTACATAGTTTGGAATTGTGTTATACCGTATCTAGCAATGTAGGTTAAGTACTTCATATGGGGAATAATCTATGGATTACCTGTCTATGATTTACATACTTGGTATACATCTAGACTACATTAAAACCTATAAAGTTTAACACCTTTGTAAGTAGAACACATTTTTCCCCACATTATTAAAGTTAGTATAAAGTGAATATCTTTAAGTAGATCACTTCCCACATACAGAATAGAACACTTCTGAGATACTAAAAGTATTCTACTTATATAGGGTTTACTGTACACTGTATATGTACTTAAACTGTATATAAACTTACTTATAGTCTGTATTGTCAAGATTCTGCAAGGCCCCTGTTCAAAATGTTAGAGAGCAATTGCTTAAGATATACATGTACATTGTAAGTTTGATAATGCATGCAAGTAACTTTCTATATCATAAGAGTTTGTATCATTTATTTGCCTCATGATTTCATTTTTCTTGCATATAGTTCATCCTTGGCCCAAGAGTAATTCATTGCATTACATTACATGATCTGCTATGAAAGCAGTGAAGGACCGATCTTGAAGGATGCATAAAGTTGTGCTTTGTGTTTTTATATTCTTTTCATGCCGGGCTGTTCCTGTGTCTTTCGATGAACCTGTCAAAGTCGGCCATTCCTGCATCTTTCCACCATTTTGAAATGTGACCCTCATGCTATTTAGGAACCTAAGTGGTCAACTTGACCTGTCAGCTTGGTCAAAACAATAATATACCAACAGTATACAGTAATATACAAGCTCCTAAGTATAGAGAATGTCCTGGTGGTAGTTGATATGTTTATTCTTAGTTTTGGAAATGTTAATTGGAAGTGAATCAACAGTAATATGGGCAGACCAGTGACAAGGGCAGAAGTAAATCTTCTATGTCGGAGACCATCCTTCAAGATAGGTCCTTCACTGCTGGTTAGAGACCTATCAAAAATCTTTAGTTTCTTCCAAATTGCCCTTATAGAGGTAAAGGACAAAGCCATGGGATTATCAAAAGCAATTTATTCCGGATGCTGTATTTTAAATCATTTAACTACTGTGTTGGTGTCTGTAGGTCAAAATTCTTGTTTTTTCTCTATTAGAGTCGGAATGTTGTTTATTCTAACCTTAAGTGGGCATATTGACCAGTCGAGAAAGCTGATATCTTTCTGTAAAGTAAAGTACAATGATCTCGCCAAGTCAAATTAGATTTGACAGTTGACCAGAACTTGGACACTGGAGTGGCAGGTTTCACCTTTGGCAATTTGTAGCACTTCCATAAACAATCTCAATATTACCTGTTCCATTTGCTATTCTCTCAAGTTGATGGTG